TTTAAGTATCTCATGGGTGGAAGAGCGTCGGTCCAAGAAGTATCTCAGTCCAAAATCAAAACAATCTTTGTCGAGGATAAATATATATATGCCTATAGTCTTTAATTTAATAATATATTGTTGGTTTAAATATATATAGATTTTTCATATTGAATTCTATTACATATATCAACATATAGACACTATTAATTGTTTGTGACAAAAAGCACTATTAACTGTTGATTACTAATTATAGTTATAAGAACCCTAGAGCTGGCTACAATATTTTACGAATTTGTTGTTTACCAAATTTTTATAGGATATACGATAAAATTGATTTTTTGGATGTTTAGATGTTTATGGTGTTGTTGTGAAAGCTGGAAACATCAAGACACCCATTTATGTTGCTGAAAGAGATGAAGCTCCTAATCATTGTCACATTATTAAATTCGAAATCAAGAACTATTGGTACCTTCGAAATTTCTGTTGTTTGTAGTTGTGAGCGTCTCCGGTATCGACTACCATGGTTTTATGTCAATAAATTTCTCGCTGAGTGGAGGCAATGTATTGATGACATTACCATATGTATATTCAGATTTGCAAGAACTGAAATGAGTGAAAGTATTTTGTTTTGGTTTTGTTATTTAACATGTAATGTTGGGGTTTGAGACATTGAAACTATATTCCTTTGATAATTAAGGTACACGAAGAGGTACTGCTTCATACAAGTGTTCGCAGATTCTATTCAATCATTCTTGTCTTGAAAGGTTCTATCCATCTGCCCTTTGTCAACGCATTTTTTTAGGCAAAGACTCCGTTTTTTCCTCTGTAAATATTTCTCAGAACATGGAGTGTGAATCAAACCCATGTTTGAATTGAAATTGAGATACTGATGCAAGCTCTTCTCTTCTGAATCAGATAGATTCATATCTGAAAGAGTTTGACAATACGTTCTTTCAAAATTGACTCTTTGTCCCTCTATTAGAGGTGTTCCAGAAATGTCTGCAATCGAGTAAATAGCTCTACGAACTAATGGATCGGATCGAATTGGAAAATAGAAAGATTTGTACAAGTTATACCTTTCGTCACCACTTTTCCAACAAGAAGAAAGGACAAATGTCACACATCCAATTTTGATCTTTTGATTATCTTTGGTTGTTGATGAGCAAACCAAGACTACTAAATTTATACTTTCTGGTTCTAATGATTTTAGTTTTCTGTTTTGCATTTTATTATATTCAGAGGATAATAATCACTATTTTCTCGCAATAATATATATCAAACGTTATGGCGTTTTACCATAATTCTATATTAATGTCGTTATAAAAATTATACTCTTGACAAAATTTAATCAATAATTGTCTAAAACTTATAACCCTAAATGACTAATTCTGGTTTTAATCAACATACAACCCCGCGCCGGGCGCGGGGACCTCCCCTAGTATTTCTATAAAAAAAAAATGAACAACAAAATACAAACACTGGAGAATTTTTTTAGTATACTAGATGAATACCCACGCTACGCGTGGGTTTATTTTGAAAATTGTGAAGAAAAAATTATTGATAGTTCTTGCTAATTTATGTTTGTTTTTTATTTGTTATTATGTAGTTAATAAAACTAAATCTATCTTATGTAGTTACAATTTTTAAGATTAGATCTATTTTTTGACTTGAAATATAACCAGAGAAAAAGACTTACTTGTCAGCTGAGACCTCTTCCTTGTTCCCGTAATATCCTTCATCGTCCTCATGGCTCTGCTAGTTGGTTAGAAGGTACTTTATCAGCTTTCTGAATATCTATTATGGGTACAAAATTTTTTTTATCTTTTTTGAATGGGATTCATTGAACTCTCTCGTTTATATTTTCAAGGGATACAAAAATTCTAGCTGCACAATACGGACCTAAAGTAGGAACGAAGAAGAACGAAAATGCTGAGAAGGCTTGTTTTGAAGTCATATGGAAGCCTTAAACCGGATAGATTGGTAATCGTAAATGCGTTTAGTTTTTTAGAAGGAGGCTTGTTTTGTTGCTTGAGTATGTCGTACAGGTGATTCTTGGTTTTTAGATCTGAATAACTTTTGCTTTGAATATTGATAGGAAAAGCTGAAAGGGAGTATGAAACGATACTGAAAAGGACGCTACAGAGTATTTGTGTTTTGACAGTTGTTCCAAATACCACCACCTCAGTGATAATTCAGGTGAGTAGCTATTCAATGTTGTGTATATCGATATTGTCAACTTGAGTTGTATCTGCTGTTTTCATTTTCTATTTCCCGTGTAGGTTGTACATGATGGTGGTTCTGTATCGTTTTTATGTTCCTTGCACCTTGGTAAACATTTACTGATGTTGTATGAAACACATATAATCCGGTATAAACAATGTCTGTTTGAGTATTTATAGAGTTTATAGTAGTGAAAGTTTGTAATCCCATAAGCTGAGAGTGTGAATATGTTTTTGTGTAACTTCTACTGTGGCCTCCATTATGGCAGTTAGAAGGTAGAAAACGTTTGTTCTAAAGAAATATGATGTACAGAAAGGGAGACTATGAAGGATGGAATTTACGAAGTCGAGAAATTTGCCTTGAGATTCTTCTTCTTTCATATTGAACGATCGAGGAGAGAGTGGGAGAGATTTATTTTGTTAAAGTCTTGTGGGGAATTAGAATATTTGTTGGGTTAGAAGCATTAAGCCATCACTGAAATGGGCTCGACCCATAAATATTGCACTCTAATAGATTCTAAAACACATATGGTCCATCCGTCATGGGCTATTTTGTTTATTCCATTTGACACTTATAAATAGAAGCTGATGTGTATTAATGAAATGTTTTGATTGGACGAATAAAAAGCTGATGTGTCATCTCCAGAAGAGCCAAAAATGCTGACGTGGCGGAAGGATGGAGAGAGATAGCCTCCTTTCATATATATGATTACAAATGTGGAGAACAAAAAATACTCACAAAATTTTTTTTCATGACAATTAGTATTACCAAAACAAAAGTGGTCGGTGCATTGTATTTATATATGGAAGGCTTGGAAGCCCAAAAATACAAACCGACTAACGTAATTATGTGATTTGATATCGTCTATGTGAGATATTCCTTTGGCTCCGGCGAATTACGATCACAGATTTGTTGAGGGACATTTGTTGATTACCGTTACTTATATAAGAAGACACATATTGGAAACAAATAAATAAAGGTTGTCGTGTTCATGGAGGAGTCCAACCACCACATGGGTTCGATTAGCCTCTCCTTGCATATTCTTTTGGATCAAATTCTCCAAATCACTGAAATCGGGCTTGTTTGTTTCTTGTCTATATGAACTTACGTACTAATTAGCTCTAGTTCAATTTTACATATATGACATAAGATAACGTTATAAAATCACAGAACAAGCATGAGTTTTGTTCTAGTCTACACGCCATCTTTATTTTTGCAACGTAGACAGTTCTAATACTACAATTTTACACATTTGGCATTAAATAATGTTAGGAAATCACAAAACAACTTGAGTTTTATATCAAGCCAGCTGGGAGATAAATAGCATTTGTTTATTCACTAGTTTCAGTTGTTTACTCGAATTAAACATTCATTGTATTTTTTTCACAAATACAGATGATTTCGGAAATTTAGAAAAACGATTTTGGTTGATCACCCCATCAAAGATTCGGCTCTAAATTCAGTGAGCTGGTTACAAAGATTGAATAATTACTACTTTGCCTAAATTTCCATAGAAAGAAAAGCTAAGGGGTTGTGAAATTTCTTTTATGAAATTGACAAAGTTTTTTTGGAACCATAATATTATTTTGTTGTCTGGTCCACTGGTGACCCCTATTTTAACTCTACAAAGGATACGTCGAATCTCGAGGTGGAACCACTCTCCTAAAGGCTTTCATCAAAGTATACGAAATTTAAAGAACATGAAATACAAATTGTCTTTCTCCAATCATTTGTAGTTTCAACGTATATGATACGACAATTATATGGCTTACACAGCCTATACGCATCTATATACGTTGCTGATTAAGATGGTTTGGCAATTGACCTAGTTCAAAACCCTAATAGTTTATTATACTGAATTAAATTGTTTTGTGATCATGCTATGGTATTTTGTAAAGTTCGCACATTAATCACTATGACATAACTCATAGTTAGTAGAACTTAATTACATTTATTTGTGGTTGGTATAATGACTAATGAGCACTAGATGTTATGCTTTTCGCTAGAGCTTCTTTTTCTCTTTGGCGGCTGCTAGAGATTTTTTTCAAACTTTTTTTTTTTTAATTGATACCATAAAATAGACAATTATCTACTTTTTATGGATTAGTATTTAGATTAAGCGAGGCTGTTGAAAAATATTTACGTAACTGTTTTTGTAATCGCTAGTCATGATTGGTTTCAAATTTTCGATTATACAAAAAGAAAAAACGTGTGAACTTGTTGTTTCCGTAACTTGACATTGTTCTTATTTCATACAAATAAAATGACATTTTAAACTAGTAGTGTGTATAAAAAATACAAAATCCTGAAGAAATATACTCCACTATTCAGATAAGGCTATCCTAGCTAATATTTAAGGAAAATATTATTCTTACCTTAAAGAAAATAATTTATTCCATCTCTTTTGGTTTGAAATCGTTTTTCGTATCTTAAAGAAAAGACTTTTATTCTATCTTAATTGATTGTTTGTCCTTATTCATAATATTTTCTTGCCATATTAAGGAAAAAATCTTATGATTTTTGATTTTACTTTTGAAACGTATTTCCTTTTATTTCAGTGTTTGCATTTTACTTATGGAATGGATTAGAACAAGGCCAGATTTTACAGCCTCAAAATTTTAAATAAGAATCAAAAACAAAATTTCCAACCCCAGAAAAAAAAAATATGCCACGTGTAAATTTGTGATAAATAGATAGTATCGTAATAGCATACGCCAGAGAACAGTTGATAAAATCCCTCCCTCTCTATCTATCTATCTCCGTCGTCACCTCTCCGACTCTGCTTTTTATAAGACGTTTCTCTCTGCTTCACCACCAGAGAAGAAACATCCAAAAAATCACATTTTTTCTTCATTTTTATCGTCGTTTTAAGAAAACAAAGCTTCCCCGATTAGGGTTTTATTTAGAAGAATGGGATTATGGAATGGAAAAGGCACCGGAGGATTTATCCTCTACCTTCTCGTGGGTTTCTCCGTCGCCGTCTTCTCTGTTTTTTACGTCGGAGACACATCAAACCCTAATCATCATCATCATCTCTCTTCCTCCTCTCCTCTCTCTGCCACCGAAAAAATTTGGCCGGTAAATTTAAAAAGATTCTTCCTTTGTTCTGAATATTCCATCGTCATTAACTTGAGTCGTTTTCAATTAGTCGTTGATTGTTGTTATAATATATTTTGCTTACGTAACAACATTAATAAAAAAGCCACCTTTAACCCAAAAGCTTGGAAGAATCTTTGAAAAAGTGGAATTTTGACTTTTTTTATTTTTGTTTCTTTTGTATGAAATTGTGTAAGTAGGATTTGAAGTTTAGCTGGAAACTTGTGTTGGCTACAGTGATAGCGTTTCTAGGATCAGCTTGTGGTACTGTTGGTGGTGTTGGAGGTGGTGGGATTTTTGTTCCTATGCTTACTCTCATTCTCGGGTTTGATACAAAATCTGCAGCTGCAATATCAAAATGTAAAGAATCGATCAATCATGATATAGTTCTTTCATGAGAGCTAGTATTGCTTGAGTTAATTTGTATGTTGTTTGGTGGTGAAGGTATGATAATGGGAGCATCAGCATCATCAGTTTGGTACAATGTAAGAGTTCGTCATCCGACAAAAGAAGTACCAATCTTAGACTATGATCTTGCTCTTCTTTTTCAACCAATGCTTCTTCTCGGTATCACTGTTGGTGTTTCTCTCAGTGTTGTTTTCCCTTACTGGCTCATCACTGTCCTCATCATCATTCTTTTCGTTGGTACTTCTTCGAGATCTTTTTTCAAAGGCATTGAGATGTGGAAGGAAGAGACATTGTTAAAGGTTAGTTTTGTTTTCCATCAATGTTGTGGCTTTTATGTTGTGATACTGAATGTGGCTTTTTCTTAAACAGAACGAAATGGCGCAGCAACGAGCTAATATGGTTAATTCCCGGGGAGAACGTGTGTAAAGCTTCATACTTTTGATTCCTTTAGTCATGTTTATGATCTTAAACTCACCACATTGTTGATTCTCTTGTTCAGTTTTAATCGACACAGAGTATGAGCCGCTTTACCCGAGAGAAGAGAAATCAGAGCTGGTAAGTGTATGCATGATGATATTTTTTTTTAACTTATTGGCTCTTCAAGACTTGCATAATGATTCAAAACCCGGGTTTCTTTGTTTACTTACAGGAAATAATACGCTCTAACCTCAAATGGAAACGGCTTCTAGTTCTGGTAACTGTGTGGTTGGCTTTCTTGCTCATCCAAATTATCAAGGCAAGTAATCTTCTTCTTCTTCTAAGCATTCTCGATAATCTTGATGTTGAGCTCTCAGCAATCTAACTCTCGGGTTTATACAGAACGAAATAAAGGTCTGCAGCACAATATATTGGATACTATTCGTCTTACAGGTAACATATCTATGTCCCAGATAATAGTTGATGTGTATTATGCACTCGATAAATCAAGGCATTTGAAATCATTTTCCATTTGTAGTTCCCAGTTGCTTTAGCGGTGTTTGGATTTGAAGCAATAAAATTGTATACAGAGAACAAAAAGAGGCTAAGCAGTGGAAACACTGAATGTATCTGTGAAGCTACGATCGAGTGGACTCCTCTGAGTCTAATCTTCTGTGGTCTCTGTGGTGTCATTGGAGGCATCGTAGGTGGTCTCCTCGGATCCGGTGGTGGATTTGTTCTCGGCCCTTTGCTTCTTGAGATTGGAGTCATCCCACAGGTACACACACTATCTTATCAGTAGATGATTTTAAAACCCAAAATCAATCATCTTGTTTCTTTGATCGTTATCTATGATTTAAAATACAGGTTGCTAGCGCGACAGCTACCTTTGTGATGATGTTTTCTTCGTCTTTATCCGTAGTCGAGTTCTATCTCCTCAAAAGATTCCCAATCCCATACGGTAAGATCTCTTAAAACACACAACATAAGAAACATTTTAAAGTAGCAAAATAAAAAGGAAACTGATGATTAATCTTTGTTTCATTGACAGCAATGTATTTGATTTCGGTATCGATTCTTGCCGGGTTTTGGGGACAATCCTTTATAAGAAAACTTGTGGCGATTCTGCGAAGAGCTTCCATCATCGTTTTCGTTCTCTCAGGAGTCATTTGTGCCAGTGCTCTCACGATGGGAGTGATTGGGATAGAGAAGAGCATAAAGATGATACATAACCATGAATTCATGGGATTCTTGGGATTCTGCAGCAGTCAATGAATCCTTCAATCTATCTGAACAAAAGTTTCAAGTGTTTTATTTTGATATATTGGACAATTTCGGTTGTCCAACATCATTATTGTGAGAAGTTATAAAACCCAGATTGTTTACTTGCAGTCCAAGTCATTTGTGCTCTGTTTTTGGTCAATACATAGTTGACCATCTTCAGAGATAGAGTTTGTCTAAATTGTTGTCATTTTTTTCCTTGTATTCAACATTGTATTATTGAATCTTTGGATGCTTGCTAGACGAAAAATAAAATTTAAAATTGGTCTTTTTCTATTCACATATTCAATGTAGAAAGAAAACAGAACATGTTTTGGTAATATTTCTAATTGGAGGAGGGCAATAGATTTGTTGCTAAGATTGTTGAACAACAAAGGCAACTTTGAGACAGTTGACTAAAGAAAAAGACATCTTCAGACAAATCTAACCACAACTTTGTCTTCCACTTGTATATCGCAACTTTCATTTCAAAGTACAGCCACAAATAATTTGAGTGATTAAATTTTCCAACAAAAGTTTTGTCAACCACATAAATAGAGATTGCAATGGACTGATTCGGATCATCTTGGTTCATATAACATCTAACCCTTAATGATATAACATTTTTATTTGGAATTTATGTATAGTTTTGTGATATTGTTCGTGGTTAAACGTCAAATTCAAAACAAAAGAAAATGATGGATGTGAGATATCAGGTCCAAGCCAGACAATAATTTGTCCCATAAACGTCAGATTGTGCAAAGTACAAGCTATTCTTTTACTTTATTGGAGGCCATCAAGTCTTTGTTTAATGGGTTTAACCTACTACAAATATTCTTTAATGGGCTTAAACATTTAATTTGGGCTGAAAGGCCCATTAGATTCCTCGAAACCTAGGGCTCAGGCGAAATTCATCTGCCTTAAATAGGATTCGTTAATGTAAAGCAAAGATTTTTTAGGGTTTCGAGTGAAAAGAGTAACAAGCGCGGCGGAGCCATGGTTCTCAAGTAATCAATCTCTTCTCTATCTCTCTTCTTCATGCTTCTCTGTTCATAGATTTACATTGTTGCTCATGATCCGTTTGAATACTGTCGAAGATGCCAATGTGCTAAAATGAGCTTGTTTTCGTTAAAATCTGTTTATCTTTTGATCAAAATCGTCGGCAATTTGAGATTTTTGGTACGAGATATGGTTTGTGGTGATCAATAACTAGATCTTATTGTTCCCCTTTACTTTGTTGTAACATTTTGTTTGTAATTCTGTACATTGAACTAGTTGTGTTTGGTCTCTGTTTGAAATCGTTGTGATTAGTTGGTTGTTTGTCTCATTGTTTTGCTCCACTCTGATTCTTAATACCCATTTACGAGTTTTGCTTATAGGACATTGTAAAATGAGATGGCGTTATTGTGTGTCCTGTTACTGTTAGTGTATGTCGTCCAAGTTGGTTTTCGATTATGTCTAAGCTCTTGACAATGTTTGTATTGTAGGACTGAGCTTTGTCGATTCAGTGGTCAGAAGATTTACCCTGGTAGGGGTATCAGATTTATCCGATCCGACTCTCAGGTACTTATTCGGTTCAATATGTGCTCTGCTTATTAAGAGTCTGTTGTTGCTATGTCTCTTGTATTGAATTTATCATTTTTGGTTTCATGATTGTATTAGGTGTTTTTGTTTGCCAACTCCAAATGTAAGAGGTATTTCCACAACAAGTTGAAGCCATCTAAGCTTACATGGACTGCTATGTACCGAAAGCAGCACAAGAAGGTAAAATTTCTTTCTTTTTTCTTTGCTTCTTGTTTTCTAGATTTAGTACTATTGATTTGTGGTTGTGACCCTTGTTTTCTGATCTCCTCCAGGATGCAGCACAAGAGGCTGTGAAGAGAAGGAGACGCGCTACCAAGAAGCCTTACTCAAGGTCTATTGTCGGTGCTACTTTGGAGGTTATTCAGAAGAAGCGTGCAGAGAAGCCCGAAGTTCGTGATGCAGCCAGAGAAGCTGCACTACGGTTAGTCTCTTTTCACACTGACAGTCTCTATATACATCAATCTTTTTTAACCTGAAATGTGATTGACTCAAAACTAAATTGATGATTATGCAGTGAGATTAAGGAGAGAATCAAGAAGACCAAGGACGAGAAGAAGGCTAAGAAGGTTGAGTATGCTTCCAAGCAACAGAAGTCACAAGTGAAGGGAAATATCCCCAAGAGTGCTGCACCCAAGGCTGCTAAGATGGGTGGTGGTGGAGGCAGACGTTGAATGGAGCTATAGAGTAGCCCACTCTTCTCTCTTCACTTATCTTTCTTTCTTGTTTTGACATTTGTTTTGTCCCCAATTTTTTTAGTTTTGCACCAGATCTTATATATTGTACTTGCTGTTTTTCTGCAGCTTATGAAAACTTTTTGTTTGGTTATCAATCATTCAATCCCCTTGTGTGTTACTCGTGATATCCAAAAACTGCAAATAGAATTTTTAACTTGGCTTGGTCTGAGCTAAACCGAGCTTTGGATAAGCATTTAACGAGTCTGTTAACATGGCTTTAGAGTTCTTCAATCACAATGTATTCTTCATAAACCTAGAGAACCCTTTTACATGAAAATTACTTAAACCATACTTCATACAAAAAAAAAAACAGAACCTCTCAAAGAAATTGTAAATTGTCTAGGACTAAAACTACAAATTTGAGCCATTTTGGAACTTAATTGGTCTTGCCTCAGCTGCAGGCTTTTTCCCAGGTTTACTTCTTCTTGCTTGAACAATTCTCTCTTATCATCGATTTCAGTTGTGTTAGCTGCTGAAACAAAGTGAAAGCAACTCAAGGGAATACACTCAAAAGCTAATTTATTTAGTATCGATCAGTGAGGTAATATAATTACCTCTTCTTGTAGCAATTCCTTTTCTCTAGAGACAACATCAAACTCCTGCCTTAGTGATTCATAGAGATGCTCGAGCTGTTTGTTCTTCCACCTGGCTTTCCTGTTTTGGAACCAAACTGCAATCTGTCTCGGCTGCAGCCCGAGTTCTTTGGACAGCTTCATCTTCCTGTCCGGATTAAGCTTTATCTCTTCTTGGAAACTTCTCTCAAGGAACTTTAGTTGCTCGCTCGTCATCTTCTTCTTTTTCTTCTCCTGTCCATTAAAACTGTTGCTTTCTTCTCCATAGCCACTCTCTACCATTCCTAGAGGGAGATGAAGCATATCTTGTTGTGCACTCACCATTGTACCTGAAGAGAGACATCTGTTGTCTTGGTTTCCTACAAGTTCAATACAAGATACAGAGGAGAGATGCATATGTTAAGCATTTAAATTAGCTCCATTAACACCAAGTACTAAGGATGCATATGTTACCTGAAAAATGGTCAAAGTTATAGAAAGGAGAGATGAAGTTGGAAGAAGAAGCGCCATCGATGAAGGAGCTGCTCCAATATTCCATCTTCTCTTCTTCTTTTTTACCTCTTTTGTCTATCTCTGCTTACAACAATCACATTCAAGAGACTATTTTTTAGCCAAACAAAGAAATGAACAACTTTGGGTGTATCTTTTTATGCATATGTTAGAACATGCATGTGCATTGTATATATAAGTAAATATGGTTGAAAACGCTAGGGTTCTGTTTTTAACTTCGGGTAACTAATTGGGTCACTATCAGGTAAAGAGAAATACATATGATGTGTAAATGAATGGTTTCATTAGTCTGGCCGGCAACAAATAGTCTGAACAAATAGAATTATACAAATAAAAATGTTTATATGGAGCTAGTACTTGGTGTTATTGGAGCTAGAGAATAGTTCATATATCTTGTAACTTTAATTCTATCTCACTTCCAATGTGTAATTCTAATACATGGTAATTGTTTTCAGATCAATTTTGAATTGAATCCACTCTAAAAACGGCAACAAACCATACTTGGACCAGGACCACCATAATCGTAAGTATAGCCCATAGTATCTTAAAAATCGATTGCTCTAGTCTTTAGTACATAAAACTGATGCATAACACATGACATAGATAAAAAAAGAAGTCATTATAGATCATTTTTTATAAATTTGTCAACCACTAGTAAACTATGATGAAGTTGAAATGAAGAGCTTGTGAATGAAATACAAACGGTTATTATTGTGATATGTATATAAAAGATTATGTACGTGATCAATAACTAAGTGTTGCGTATTAATTAGTGAGTGGAGAAAGGAACAGTAAGAGTAAGATAAAGAGGTGAAAAAGAAAAGAGAGAATGGTCCAGATTCTACATTTGTACAAATGTCTATCACTTTCTCTACCTTAATCAACCACCAATCTGACATATATCAATTCAAACTTCTACTCTCGATCTATAATTTAGCCAGCCATTTTTTCATCTCTTTGTATGTATGTATTTGTAAATTAAAGTCCCCACAATCTTTATTTAACACTGTGGAGCTGCAGGGTGCTACTCCAACAGATAGATCAGAAGGGTCCAATTCTGATCCTGACAAAATTTGTGAGCACAGTGCACTATGAAAATAGTATCATCATATCGATCTACGAGTTTTTTTTGTATTGATCCGGCGATAAAGTATAGTTAGAAATTGAATGATGCAACGTATCTTGAAGCTATGTTAAGTGCTTATATGGTTTGGATAAAGCTGAAATTTCAAGTACTAGTTATATTTCTCTAAATCACATTGTATGATAAAAAACGTTGATTGTGACTGACATAAGTATATATACTGGTTCCATTTCCAAAGCACGAAACAACTTCACTAACCAATTTTTCCATGAGGTTTTAAAATGTGATTTTCTTTTTCTGGTATCAAGTCATTGGATTGAAAGAGAAAATACAAAAGATTTTTAAAGAAAAATAAGATTTACCTATGATCTTAATTTTTTAGAAACTGACTTTTTTATCCACCAAATTTTGTTTTAAATCCTTGTACATACATTTTTATTTTGGATAAACGTGCTATTTTTAATCAAATATCTTGTTTAAACATGTGATGTCGAAAACATGTAAAAGGAAAACAGAAAAATAAACCAAAAGTCATGCCATAGTATTTTGGTTAAAATAAAACACTGTAAAAACCAAACAGATTTGTATTTTATTAGACTCATAAACTAATTGGTTTAACTTTTAGTTGGGTTCAGTTTACATATCTTTATGAAAGTAAAAAAACACTACCAATGCTAGCAAGATAAGAGTTAGTTAGCCCTTTAACAAAATAAAAAGATAAGAGTTAGTACTTTTGATGCTTTTGATCATTAATGTTAGAAAGTATCAAGAATGAGAATGTAACTACGATAGAAGATTAGTAAGTTACAAATTAACAGAATAATTTACCATCAGGAGCATGATGGATAATCAAGGATGCCAAAGAGATCTACTTATTATCTGCTAGTTCTAAGCTAAATCAAGAAGTATTTCTGTTGGAAGCTGAGGTATAAAGCCTGTAAAAAATATATTGAATTCAACACTTTGGGATATATCGAGATACTTCATTATTATTGTCACAATCCAATGCATTGCGAGAGTGGAAGTAATAAATTGAGTGAGTAAACAGTAGTAAAAAAGCTATAATGATAATCTAAACGAGGACCATATAGTATAAAGTCACAGAGAAATAAAGGTCAAGAGAGCGTGTTGTGTCATTACTAAATGTTTTCGTATAAAGAAGAAGCTCATTAGAATTATTTCCTTCTTTTAGAGTGACATAGGTCAAAATTCCATGTTAGTTAAAAACCAAAACCAACGGTTAATGTTTTCAGTATAAACGCACTTGCTAAATAGAGAGCATGGTGAACTCTAGCTTAAGAATTGTTTCTTTTCTGAAAATTTTGACGATTACATTTTTCTTTGACATGTACTTGGCACTGCCAAATGCCAACCAGTGGAAGGCAGAAGTCACAGAACCTGACTTTCCATTTGCCATTATTACTTTTTTGGTAATTTAAGTCGAAACTGTCACGTGTCTCCCCATCGTGAAAACAAAATCAACACTCAAATAGGAAATAGACTTTGGAATAACAAAATTAAACTACACGTTTTAACAATTACCTAACATTAAATTGTCCCTTTTAAAGAATGGTCCTTACGTTTGAACAATACCCTTTTCTTCAAGTTAGAATTGTCAAAGCCTATATATTTTCAATAGTAATCACAACGTGTACCCACTTACATGTTCATGTTGAATCCGATTTGTGATATGAAATGGTACAAGTTTTTTTTAACAAGAGTATGAGATAGCAGCAAAAAATGTACAATTCCTTCTTTCCAACTATTATTTCACAGTAGCTTTCCTTTTCTTGCGGTGCGTTACATCGATTGGGATGATGAAGACTGAGTCCAAACAGATCCCGCCTTTCGAATGTGTGCAATCGATCTGTTTCATTGACCATCGGACTTAGGTTGATGGTTCTGACTTCTGAGCAACATAAAATTTAAAAAAATTGAATTATAAATGGGCCGACCAACTGTCAAAAAATTGGGCCGACAAGCTGTTGTTGAAGAAAAAATTGGACACGCCCGGTGGGACTCGAACCCACAATCGTTTGATTAGAAGTCAAACGCCTTATCCATTAGGCCACGGGCGCTTTTGTTTTCATTCATGCTTTACTTTATATATAATTTAAACAAATAAAAGTTTAACACATCCATCGTAGCTTTTGAATAAGGGGGAAAACGAAAAATATATACAGTTAGAACAAACTCATTACAAGTTTATAACCATCTCACATAAACCACATAATAAATCCTAAGGAGTACAAACCAATCTCTTAGAAAAAGATTAACATACAATTTCTATAAATAAGCCAGGCAAATCATGCGTATAACGGAACATAACCTTAAAGAATACATGGTGTGGACAAAGTTTTGATTTAGTTTTGATTTAGTTTCTTACGAGATCAAAAATTGTTGCAACTCTTCATTAGATATATCTCCATTTTTTTCACTAGATCTCTAAATCTAGCTTTCAATTTCAAGATGTCACATTTGAAAATAATGATTTTTAAGTATTCAACCAAAAATGGGTCGGATATAAATGTGGTGATATTGATATAGGTCCCGGCCACTTTTTAAATAACCAAACAATAAAAAGTCAAAACTCTAAGAGAATTTAGTACACTCAAACTTTTGGCCTATTTATTGTCTTTCGTCTCACGTTACATATTTTCGTATCTAGTCTTATTCTGCCTAACAACAAGACGGCAGAAATGTCCAAAAAATCTTTAAGAATCAAGCTGCATACACTCATTTCCCATATCTCCAACACTTCAACGGTCTAAAGAAACATTTAAGTGTCTCTCCAAATTCACAGCCACATATTTCAGATTTTTGTGTGTTTTGGATTGTTTTGTGATAACTCTAATACTATCATTAGTTTTATCGGTACAATTTGTTCATATATTATTCCACTTTTGCAGTAAATGATTGTGAATAATGCAGTTTTTTGTGTCTAGCTCTGAACCACTCAATTCCAAAGGAGATTTCATCTCTCCATTCACCACATTTATATTGTGCTTGTTTCGTAATTCGTATATATTGAAAGAAACTGTGCCACAACTTCTCATTTCTAAATCCTTTTAAAAATCTCTCTACCACTTCTAATTGGACTTGATTTCCCAACATAGACTCTTTCCCATTGTTACCGACCAGACGACCATCTATTATAAAGGGAAAGGCTCTTAGCTGCAGAGACACAAATAACCATTTGGAGATCATGAACGCTAAGAATCGCATAAACAATGTCGGAGAAGATGTTGATATCGAAATCCCTGACACTGCTCATCAGATTAGCAGCGGTTTGTCATTTGTTTTCCCCCTCTTTTTGTTTTGTTATATTAATTTTACGGCTTAAGATGTGTCAATTTTTTTTTTTTTTTAATTAACATTGGATTAGTACCCAATTTCAGTTTCTTTAAAACTATTTTTTCTTTAAACTATGAAAAGCATTTACAAGTATGTTTCGTGGAATGTACAGATTCATGGTTTCAGGCAGCGTTCGTTCTGACAACCAGTATAAACAGCGCATATGTGTTGGGATATTCAGGAACAGTCATGGTTCCTTTAGGATGGATTGGTGGTGTGGTTGGTCTTATTCTTGCTACTGCAATCTCACTCTATGCAAACACTCTCGTAGCCAAGCTACATGAGTTTGGTGGCAAAAGGCACATTCGTTATAGAGACCTCGCGGGATTCATTTACGGTAAACCAGCTCTCTTTGCTTTATCTTTCTCTATCTTCTATGTTACTTACATTGAAATGGTTATCTCTTTTTTCAGGTAGAAAGGCTTATTGTCTTACATGGGTGTTGCAATATGTCAATCTTTTCATGATCAATTGTGGTTTCATCATACTAGCTGGTTCCGCCTTAAAGGTACGTAGTAAACATTGTTCTCTCTTGATTCTTGATTTCGTGAGCCAGAGTTAGTTATTTTTGGGGTGTGTTCTGTTTTCTTCAGGCTGTTTATGTGCTTTTTAGGGATGATCATGCCATGAAGTTACCTCATTTTATAGCCATTGCGGGTCTGATTTGTGCGGTTTTTGCGATTGGGATACCTCATTTATCGGCTCTTGGGATCTGGCTTGCGGTTTCAACTATCCTCAGCCTCATCTACATCGTTGTGGCAATCGTGCTATCTGTTAAAGATGGTATAACTTAAATGATGATCATCTTCAGCCATTTACTTATGGATTTTATAGCTACTGATAAGTCAGATTCTTCCTGCTAATTTTGCTTTTGTAGGAGTTAAAGCACCTTCAAGAGATTACGAGATACAAGGATCATCACTAAGCAAACTTTTTACCATCACTGGAGCAGCCGCAACACTAGTTTTTGTATTCAATACAGGGATGCTTCCAGAAATTCAGGTGACTTTTTCTAGATTTCAGCTTCATATTTTAGGCTTCTTATTAAAAAACGTTTAAGCTATGTTTTAGGCTTCAGCTTCTACGTTTAGTTGCATTTTGTTCAAATAAACCTCATCCTAAACAAAAATTTTGATCTTACTTATAATGTATTATCTTCACAATCCTTCTTATTGACACTGCTTTTTCCGCAATGATGATAGGCGACAGTAAGGCAACCGGTAGTAAAAAACATGATGAAGGCTCTATACTTTCAATTCACGGTGGGTGTTTTACCGATGTACGCGGTTGTATTCATCGGTTATTGGGCTTACGGATCCTCAACCTCGGTTTATCTACTAAACAACGTTAATGGCCCAGTTTGGGTCAAAGCCCTTGCTAACATCTCCGCTATCCTTCAATCCGTTATCTCTTTGCACGTAAGTTTCTCTTCGAGAAAACAACTTATTAAGAACCGTCTCAGCTCAAACTATTTGTGAGTTAATCCGTACTTAATTTTTGTAGATTTTTGCAAGTCCAACATATGAGTACATGGACACTAAGTTTGGGATCAAAGGAAACCCATTGGCGTTAAAGAACTTGTTGTTTAGGATCATGGCAAGAGGCGGGTACATAGCGGTTAGTACGCTTCTCTCAGCACTCTTACCGTTCCTTGGGGACTTCATGAGCCTCACTGGTGCAGTGAGCACATTCCCTCTCACATTCATTCTAGCCAACCACATGTACTATAAGGCTAAGAACAATAAGCTCAATCCTTTGCAAAAGCTATGGCATTGGCTCAACGTTGTCTTCTTCAGTTTGATGTCTGTTGCTGCCGCCATTGCAGCTCTTAGGCTCATCGCCCTTGACTCCAAGAACTTCCACGTTTTTGCAGATTTGTAGTTGATTATATATAGTCACCGTATTTTATTCTTCGTTGGATTTCTTATCATTAAAAATAATTTTCAATAAATGAAGATGTAATTGCTTATTATTTTCAGTATTTGATTGAGTATGCAAAGCTAGCCACTGCAACTCTTCGAGAAAAGATTGTAGATAATTCGGAGTTTTGGATCCTTCAATGTTGCTAAGAAATGAACATAGAAGTATAGTTACTAGGGAACGTAGATCTTATGCATAAAGTGGGAAGTGGTTTATATCATAACTTGGAAGCATCAATCTCCTAAATACAAAATCAAAAGTCCAGGAGATATTTTCACTCCCGTATCTAGCATATCGCCAGCAAAACAAGAATCGCAAGTATCTTTCTTGGAAGGCACCAAGAGTTTTAGTGAAGGAAATAAAATTGATTAGTAACAGAAAATAAAAAGACGGACAAGACTCACTCTGCTTCTTCTAATCCTCTAGCTCGATGATTTTGACCACGGACGCATCACCCACTTTCTGACAGACCACAACTCTGTCATGTGACTTGATCACTCCGGCTTGCTTCCCATGGTCAAGAGCCACTTTCAGAACCGACTCATTTGTTGCACTTGTTGATTCCGCCTGAACAAAGGATTCACAATACATTAGGAAAATCCGGTTTCACACCCCGCTAAAGTTACAATTGCAACCATAACACTAAATTTGCAAGAATTTTTTTGCAAATACTCAAATTCTTTGCAATAGAGACTTACAGGGTGACGAGGGTCAGCAAGCATGGGGAAAAGACCTCTGACAATAAGTGACTGCCTTGCCTGAAACAACAATAGACACAAACACGATGTTAAGTGTGAGCAATAATCAAAATAAAGTCCACATAGGTAATTCAGATATGATAATAGTTTTTCTTGTGGAGTTCTCAGATTTAGAATTTTACAAGGAGGTGATATTATTCCAAAGGGTAACTGTTTTTTAATCCTCAATTATACAGAACATTTAAGAGTTGTTTTTCCTTTGAATCATGTGGACAATGATAAATAGGATATGCAGTCATAAGTAATTAACAACTGTAATCACTGAATCTTAAAAATCAGCAAGTGGCATAAGAAAATTCCCAATTCTTTTTCCAAATTCACAAAATCAGAATGAAGTTTACCTCAAAGGCTCCGCTAAAGCTCCACTTCAGCTGATTTGTCGTAAGCCGGGGAATGACAACAGAGAGAACGGGCATAGTTGGACGGTATTTGGCAATCAACCTTCACGTTATGGACGAAACATTTTAGTAGACAGCTACAGAAGAATTTAAATGAAGGAACAGTTTAAGTCGGAAGGAATGGAGTGAACCTTGCTGCTCTGCCAGACGAGGTGAAGCATATAATTACGGATGCCTTAACCTTAATTGCTGCCCGTACCTGATATCAAGTAGTAGTTAAGCTTTTAAGTTAACACGGACCAATTTGAAAGGCAGTTTGTCAGCTTTTAAATTACATAGGTAACACAGAAGAGATGCTTACAGCAGAAGAAGCAATAGATTCCAAGTGAGTCATTGGTTCTCCAACATACTTGACAGTCTTCTTAAAGAACAAATCTTGGTTGAAAACTTTCTCTGCCTATAAACAAGTAATAAATGTATACGAGAAAATCAGATGACAAACCATGGCTAAGATGATTGAGATACTAAGAAGACGAGGAAAATAGTAATACTTTAGAACCACAAGATGAAGCCTACCTCACAACAGATTCTACCAACAGTTGATATGGTTTCAACAGGGTACAATCCACGAAGAGTCTCAGCACCAAGAAGAATTGCATCACTTCCTGCAGGAAGCGAAAGGAAAGAAACCCTCTTCAAGTTATGACCAAAACTATGATCCATAAATACATATTCCCTTCATAGAATATAAGCAGTACAAAGTACATATCTCAGAAACTAGACATACCATCTAAAACAGCATTAGCAACATCAGTTGCCTCTGCACGAGTTGGCCGGAGATTGTCAGTCATACTGTCTACAACACGAGTGAGAACGGCTGGCTTTCCAGCCATGTTACACTTGTAAAGGGCAGCCTTTTGGAACAAAAACACCTGCAAGTTTTACAGTCAACTTAGCACTTCGCTCCAGAACATCACTAATAGTCTAATAAGACACACTAATCTGACTAGAAAGTGTGTAGGGCAGTAGGGCATTGGACCACATATTGATTTGACTGACCAACAGCATACCTTTTCCGGAGGTAGATCAATACCCAAATTCCCACGAGAAAGAATAATGCCATCTGCTTCTTGTAGAATTTCGTCGAAGTGGGTTAGTCCCTAAAATCAAAAATACACATATGTAAATATAAACAGTACCATCACAATTCCAATGAAAGAAAAGTTGCATGTAAAGACAAAATAAATTCATTTCACTTACCTCTTCATTCTCAATCTTCGCAAATATTTGTGTTTGAGAGAGGTCACCCAAACTGTTAAGCAACTCACGGGCCTGTGTTGTGGCATAATAAGTGATCATTCAAGCGCATCAGAAGAAACTCTATAATTAGTAGTGACTAAACAAAGGAATCATACTGCAAAGGCGGTTATAAAAAAACATTATGAAAAAGAATGTGGACCTGGCGAACATCTTCTGCATGTCGACAATAAGATAATGAGAGAAAATCGATCTTATTCTGAACTCCCCATGTACTTATAACCTAGAAGAGAACCAAAACAGAAAAAAAAATAGTTAAAGCATTTGAACAGATAAGCTAGAGAGACAGAGTAAAGCGGTCACTGAGATAATGTATGTAAATTATAAGTAACACTGACCTCCTTATCCTTCTGAGTGAGGGTTGGCATATCAATGTAAACTTGAGAGACGTGCAATGTGAACAACGGACCAGCCAGAGTAGCAGCATTCCTTGAAATACAAATGACATCATCTCCTTTAACTTCTTCAACCTGAAGGTTTGTTTAAATGGTTAGTCTTCTGACAACAAAAACATCTACAAGTCTAAATTTAAATTCCAGAGAACAACGTAGAGTGGTTCCATAAGCAAAATTATTTTATACCTCTAGCCAAACTGAAGTTGTTTCACTACCAGTGAAGAGGTATTGTCCAACAAAGATAGTGTCTCCTTGCTTAACTGCCTGAAGAAATCAAACAATAAACATCCATCAAACCCCTATATACAAGAAGCCAATTATCATCTTCTCCAAAAAAACTAAACGGTAAGGGTTATATAGAAACCTTCGCTAGCCCATCAAAATTAATGGGAAAGACTTCAGAGGAAGCTTCTTGATCTTGTCTCGGAGTCAAAGTTACAAGGCCATCAGCTTTAAGAGAAATAGCTTTCTCCGTCTTGTTAATAACTTGCAACTCAGGTCCCACAGTGTCCAGCATAACCTGTAAAAACCATAAACAACAATCTTAATTCATGAGATTAAGCATTACCAAATAAGATCTAGCAGAACAAAACCAGAGAAAAGATAAACAAACATACAGCACAAAGCTTCTTAGTGCTCTTCACAGCTATCTTCAGATTCTCCAGCGTCTCCTGGTGATACTCTGCATCACACCAAGAGAAATCGAATCGAGCCACTGCACAAAGAAATGACACATCAATAACCAGTGAGAGATCCCCAAGCAAAATCACGTCTCAAACAGTGAAGTAATCGCTATTACCCGACATTCCAGCTTTGAGACAACCAGCAATCACCTCGACGGATCGAGATTTTGGACCTAGAGTCCCAACAATCTTAGTCAAAGCCGGGAAAAAACTCTGCGAAATAGCATCAAAGCGGATCAAAAACCTCGAAAACGAAACAAGTTTCTTACTAATGGATGAAATATCGCAACAGATCCAAACGTAATCGAAAACAAAAAACGAACTAAGAAATCAAAACAATCACAGGACAACACATAGAGCGAGAGGAGGAGAAATAAATATAGCTCACTGATTTGGAAGGTTCGAGGATTGAAGTCATCCTGATCGGTTCCTCGAGAAGGAGATGACTCGAATGCATAGCTGCTGATCGGAATTGGGAGATCTCAGGCTTCGTTGCGCGACGGTGACGGGAGAAAGACGGAGAGGAATGTTGGAGTGGAGAAGAGGCGGAGAAAAGTGTGCGTGATTTGGTATTTGATACGCTTGACCGGCGAATATGCCTCCAAATACGACGCAGTTTTCGTTTAAATAGCACACAATAAAATGAAAATGTTGAAAAACACGCCATTGACTTTAGTTTCTCCATTTTACACCCATAACTGTTCAGTATCTAATGCAAACTATATCCTCCATAGTTTTATAATATAGTACTTATTTTTAATGATTTTGGTAAGTTTTAAAATAGTTCACTGATAAAATATTCAAACGAAATCAAAACTTTTGAAGTAATATCATAAATTAGTGTATCTATGTATAGTCAATAGTCAATACAAGAGATAAAATTTCACAAATTTAGTAATATATTCAAATAAACAATTTATTATTTTCAAAACTATAATCTTAATCTGTGGATTTTAAATGATTTTGGATACTGAATGAATTATCATAATTTAAGATAATGGGGATCAAAGTAGCAAAAACTAAAACTAGAAGGACTGGATTGTATTAACTAATTTTAATGGACATCTAGAAACAGGATCTAAAAATGTCAATGAGCACAACGACGGTCCCAGATCGTACACGTGGTAAAAAGGGTGCGATTAAGGCACATGAAAAGCGACGTAGCTGGTTTAGACTTTTAGTATTCCCCAAGTTAATTTCGTGGGGAAGGGGTCAAATTGGCCTCACGCGCAGAGGAACAATGATTGAGTGTGATTTTTCAATAAGGTTTATTTCAGTTACGCACTAATCAAATACCATTGAACTTGCCTTTACGGCTTAATGAAAACTAATATATATTTTTATGTATTTTATGATGTTACCGATTGCAACTTTATGGTTTATCAATTAGAAAGAAGTTGTTTAGGCAAGATTCGCTTCTAGAAATGAAAGGAAATCCATTGTATTTGTCTCAACTCTTAATTATTGGCTAATCATGTGCTTGACCATTCGTCAATTTACTTAATTTGCCAATCATAATCCATGGGCTCAAAAGGTACGCGAAAGGTCAAATCCAAAGGGCTGACTCTTTAACCAAGAAGACAATTACGAGTGGACACAAAAGCTTCCACCGTTCTAGAAGCATTAATCAATGGGCGTTTGAGTTAGGTTCAATAATCATATAGCAATCGCTAGTTAATCAACCTATAACATATGGGCCTAAATGGGCTTTAAAGAGTAACAAATGGGGTTTTAACACATTATTTGAAACGGTTTCATAAATCCACAATAACCCATAAACGTTACGAAATCACAAACCGCGAAAGACACAAAACATGGCTAAAAAAAGTCCGACAAGTTCGCAAATCAGGGATTCTAAGCAAGAACCTTAAAATCGACAAGATCCAAACGATAGATATTTTACAAAAGCGATGGACAAAACCCAAAGTTAGCCTTCTTCCGTGGTAGCCAACGACGGCGACATTGAGTTTCTTGACTCATCAAAATCCTCACCCACCGGAGATTGCTCAACTCTAATCTCCTCAACCATCTTAACAACCTCCGCCATCGTCGGCCTCTTCTCCGGCTGCGGCACGACGCAAGCTAAACCGATATGAAGCATCGCCACCATCTCCTCCTCAATATTCTTATACCTCAAAAGCTCCGGATCAAAAACCTCCGCCGTCCATTCCTCCTTCACCACCGACCTAACCCACTTCGGTAAATCAACCACAGCTTCCTCCTCCTCCTCTACCGCCACTGACGCCGCTGATCTAGGTCTCGACGGAGACGGGAATATCGAGGGAGCTTTTCCTGTTAAAACCTCAAGAAGCAACACACCGAAGCTGTACACGTCAGCTTTCTGAGAGAGCCGTTTGATCTCCGACTGTTCCGGTGCACGGTAGCCTCCTAACCGGGCGATAGCATGAACCGGGTTTAGCAAAAGTGATAAACCGAAATCAGCGATTAACGCGACGCCGTTTCTGTCCAATAGAACATTAGAGGATTTGATGTTGCCGTGAGGAATCTTTGAGATACTATACTCGTCGTGAATCTTCGCTAAGCCTCTCGCTGCTCCTAACATTAGACTAATCCTCGTAGTCCAATCCAATGGAATCCGTCCAGGACCTCGGTTCCCTAAAAACACCAATCAATAACTCAAAACTTTGACTTACCAAATTTGGCCGATCATGTAATAAAAATCAAAACTTTTGCCACCAATGAGTGACCCAATTGACCAAACTGCAAAACAGAGCATTTTCAATTTGATAATCAAAGCTTAGAGAGAAAGTTTTACCATGAAGAAGAGAGTGTAAGCTTCCATTAGGAAGATACTCATAAACTAAGAGCTTCTCTTCTTTAGCGTAGTAATAAGCTCTGAGCTTAACAACGTTTTGGTGTTTAAGCCTACCAATAATCTCCATGTACTGCTCAAACTCTTTCCTCGGACATGGATTTGCGTCTTTTAGCCGCTTCACAGCCACCGTCGTCGAGCCGTCGTCAAGCACCGCCTTGTACACCGTCCCTAAACTTCCTTTCCCAAGCATTTCCGCAGATGCTTTCAACAAATCCTCAAGCTCAAACTGTTTCCTCCTCTCGAAAAACACAAGTCTGCTCCTATCTGTCGCCGACGTCGCGTCACTCTCTCCTCCTTCGCCGTAGCTGCTTCGTCTCTTCCCTTCTCCTCCGACGAAACCACTCTCTACACTTCCGGATTTTGATTTTTCGCCGCTACGGTCCAATCTTCCACAACAGAAAGCAAAACCGAAAGATACTAAAACAATAACCGCCACACAACCGCCGATAACCGCGGCGATTATTCCCGGTTTAACCCCTCTGTGACCGTGAATTTCCGGTTCTCCGACGGTAACCGGAGAATGCGGAATCGATGTAGGATTCGACGGAACAATCTGATCAGTGTTTGAAGATTCCGGGTCATTTGTGATAGTACAAACCGGTAAAGGATCCGACCCGCATAATCCTTCGTTACCGGAAAAGCTCAAGTCTCCGAATTTCTTCACCACACCGTCGGAGACATTTCCGTGTAACTCATTGAACGAAACATTCAATTCAAGAAGTGACTTCATCTGAGAAAAATCCGGGATCCGACCCGTTAACTCATTGTTCTGGAGCCGGATCGTTAAAATCCGGGTAAACCCGAGAATCTCTCTTGGTATAACTCCACGGATATTGTTATCAGAGAGATCAAGACGTATCATTCGTTTAAGAAAGGAGATCTCTTTAGGTATCTCACCGGAGAGATCGTTACCGGCGAGATAAACGAGTCTGAGGTTTATACAGTTTGTGAGTGGTGAAACGGTGCCGTTGAGTCTGTTATCGTGGAGGTCAAGAAGACGAAGCTGGTCTAAGGAGGAGAGAGAGTTTAATGGTCCTCGTAAGGAGAGGGAAGGGAGAGAGAGTTCAGTTACGCGGTGTGAAGATGGTGAGCAAGAAACGCCGTGCCATGAGGAGGAACAAGCGTCGGAGCCGGTCCAGTTTCCGGCGAGGTTGCCGTGTGTGTCGGTTTGGAGACGGAAGAGTGTGAGTGCATTTGTGTCGTTCTGAGCAAAGGAGATTGAAAGGTGAAGAAGAAGGATAAGGAGGAGAGGAAGAAGAGGTTTAGCAGCCATGGCGTATGAGCGGGAAAGAGAAGAGTGAGTGAGTGTGAAGAGAGAAATGTATCTTTCTTTTTATTGAAATTGAGAGAAAACGACAAAAAATGGAATCTTTAAATTTTCTTTTTTCTCTTTTCTTTAATCTTTTTTGAATGCAGTGTCATAGTCCAGAAAAAAAAAAGAGATAAAACAAAGACTGAAGAAAGTAAAAACAAAAGTTACGTACAAGGGACTGATCAGGAACAGAACTCATGAAGAATAAATGTACGTTCTATGTTAAAATTGCATATAAACATAAGGATTGAATTATGTAATGACATAAGGTTATCAAATAATATCAAGAAAATTTTCATTAATCAGTTTATTAACTTCATATATAATATACTTTGATAGATGTAAAAAGGAGATGATGGTAAATGATTTGTGAGAAGGAGGGGAAAAAAGAGAGGAAAAAGTAGGAATGGTGGTGGTTGTGTTAATGATTGATGTTTTCCACTCCATGGTGTGGGTGAACATAACCCTACGCTCAAAAAGTTTACCCAGTGTTTGAAAAAGGTAAGGTAATCCACAGTAGTATAGTTGCTTTAATTTGTGTCTCTTTGTAAGAAAATTAAAGTTACTTTTGCAATTTGTTTCTCTATTTAGATATTGAGTAAAGAACAATTTAGAACATTTTATCATTCGTTTTAGTTTGTATACTAAGAATTCTGACATATTGTGAATCCAATTTGAAAGCAAATCCAAAGCAAGATATTGTGCTCAAATGAGATGTAGATTGTCACCAAAATCACAATGACTTAGATTTGATTTCAAAAAAAGAGGAAAAAGGAGAGTTGCGTAAAAGTGATAATTTTCTAGGTTAACAACTTTGATGTTCATTGACACAGAGATCTGCAATACTATCACTGCAAGGCAATCGATAAAGCGTTTATGCAACCTAATGCAGTTGTGGTTATCATGAACTCACTCTTTTGTGTTTTTCCCAAATTGAAACCTTGTTTTTATTTTTTTTCCCAAGATCTCAAAAACCAAAGGCTTTACTTATGTAAAAGCCAAACTTTTTCATTTTAACTAATGATATTGACATTCTTAGCCAAAAAAAAACTTTGATAATCATTACAAAACTATATATATGAATCTACTTGCTTAGACTTAATCTCATGGACTAATGTGTTGGGTACAAACCAACGTCCCACATCGGAAGTTTAGAAAAGAAGTTTCTAATATATAAGTAAAGTCCAACTCCAATTAGTATGAGGCCTTTTGGGAAGGAGCCCAATAACAAATCCGTGCGGGCTTGAGCATGTAAGCCCAAAGCGGACAATATCATACTAATGGGGAGTTGGAATGGGCTTAGAAAGCCCAATAAATGGTATCAGAGCCTAGGTTGAAAAATGTGGACTTAGGGGAGTGGGCTTGGACCTATGATCGGTGTGGGAGAAGCCCTCAAATGTGACACGATAAGAATGTGCCTTAAGAATTTCGCGAATAAGAATGTGCCGAGTTAGGGTGCCAAGATTTCGCTGAAGAGGAGGCCCAATGTTCGTGGTCCGTGGTTTGAAGGGGAGATTGTTGGGTACAAACCAACGTCCCACATCGGAAGTTTAGAAAAGAAGTTTCTAATATATAAGTAAAGTCCAACTCCAATTAGTATGAGGCCTTTTGGGAAGGAGCCCAATAACAAATCCGTGCGGGCTTGAGCATGTAAGCCCAAAGCGGACAATATCATACTAATGGGGAGTTGGAATGGGCTTAGAAAGCCCAATATAATGGACTTCTTATCATCTTATGAGGTCAATCTTTTGGCTTTATATAGATCCTCTAATACGATTTACTGTTTATAAAAGTCTTGCTTAACTATTCAAATGGCACACTACATATTTTCACTAAAAATAACTCAACTTACAACATTTACATAAGTAACACTACATATGTTTCTTTTTAGCTTGAAATTTCATTTGGAAGTCTTTAAAATTAGAATTAGAATTCAAGTTTACATAACTATAAGTCTTTTTAGCTTGAAATGTCATTTCCACTAATATACACAGTCGATAAAACCAACATTCTCGGCTAATGAAAATATGTTTAACTTCTTCAAGTAAAAAGTATTTTGTTCCTGTTATTAAAATTAGATAATTCAAATGAGCTAACTACTAGTGTGCCGACAAAAATTAACAAATAACATGTTGGATCCATGATTGGTACGACGCGACAGTTGATGATTTGTTCTGGAAAACAAAGTCAGCTTTGCATTTTCTCTTTCCCTAAGCTCACTCTTATTTTTTTACCAACCCGACATTTTTGAGACCCCTTTAACCAATTATAAAAGGAGGAAAGGAAGGCGCAATTAGCGTTGTGATTTTCATCTTTTTTTTAAAAAAGGCTGATAAGAGAAATTTACCAAAGTTCTTACATCTCCATACTTATTAACCAAAGTTTAAAAACTGTGGGTTCCTTAATTAAAAAATCTACAGTTTTTGGTTTTGTTTGTTTGTTATGTTTTATTTTTTAAAACAATCAGAATATACATACAACTACTACTATAACCATTTATAACAAATATGTGACTAGAGTGACAGCTTTGTATACTTGTTGAATTTCTTGTCAAACTTGAGAAGATTGACTAATGTTGTATTTTGCTAAGATGTGGCAATTCTCTGCTACGAAGAACTTTAACAAAATTGAAATTGTTTTGGGAGTGTTTTCTTTCATAACAAAGCAGAGTTTATTTAGTTCATCTAGGACACAAGTTACTTCAAACAGGGAGATAACAACATACTGAATTGATAATTTTTCGTTGAAATCTGAAAATTACTTTTGACAAATACTTCTCTTTGGGTCAATACTCTCTCCGAATGGGTTGGCTTGATGTGTGTGCGCGCGCGCTTGGTTTTATTTACTCGGTCATTCGGTGCATGGATTGACGGTAAATGTTAAGCTATACTGTTGGGCCTTAGCCCATGGGCTTAAAGTGATCGAAATTACCAATGTTATCAACACAAAAAAAAATAATACTTCAATTGGGATTGTGGAGGAGATATTAAAATAAGTCTTGAGTTTGGAAAGAAGTGCCATTACCGCCGTTACAACTTACAACAACACATCATTGGTTTGACTGACTAGAAAAATACAAAAAAAAAAAGTTTACCGGACTTGACTATTTGCATTTGTGGTAGATTTTGTTTTAGCAAATACTACTTTTTTTTCCGTTGATGTTTTCCAAATATATATAATTTCTTTCTTTTTGAAACAACAAAAACAAATTCACTGAACTTATAGTCAAAATTCATTATTTTCTTCTATTTGTAGCTTTTTTTTTTCTTTTTTGTTAACCCAAATTTGCTTCTTATATTAGATAGGGACTAAAGTTCCGATGCAACTCGTTTGCGATTACATTGAGGATAAAATTATAAAAGAAAGACATTCCATTTTTACCTTTGTATATAATATCTAAAACTGGGAAAAAATAAAAAGATTTGACTCGTGTTCTTTGCTTTCCGCTGGCGTTTTCCATGTAAGGAATTTGTTTTTTAGTGTATAATTGGCCCAGTCAATTCAAAGTCCCAAGTTTTACTTTTAAAATATATAATTATTGAATATTAAAAAAAATCTGTCTTTAATCAAAATAAAATACTTTCTATATTTCACTTAATTATATGTTTTCATTAAAACGAAAAAACATATTCAAAAGACAGCTACATTGAAATAATTTAATTCGGCCAAATTTAAATTTCTGCAATTTAATTGAAATTATTTGATATTTGAAACTTAATATCCATTGAATATATATTATATACTATAAGGTCCAGTTGTTCATACTAATTATATACTATAATATCCATTTTATATATGTAAGTCATGTTAGTTCAATCAATCTTACGATTTTAAAAGTCCGTTACAAATCGCTAAATATATATAAAATGTTGTGATCGTTCGTCTTTCCAAAACATATCTAATATAGAATCATAAAATTTTGAACGTTATGGAAACCGTTTACAACGATCACTAACTAGAATCACAAAATAACGGTATTTAAACCGTTTACAACGGTCACTAACTAGAATCATAAAATTTTAAGCCAAAATCTAAACTAAATTTTTTTTAATGTGAAATTTATTATATATATAAAAAAATTCTTTCTTATTATCTATATCTATAGAACAGAAAAGAAAAACTAAATTTTATATAGATAGACAAAATATCTATTTCATTTACCTTCTTATATTATCTCTGTATATACAGACAACATATACATACAGTGAAACTTCAACATTTAATTTTTATATTTTTTTATTAAATGGGAGAGGCCACATATTAATTAGGAAACGGTAAAAAAAAATAAAAAGGTTTCCAAACTATCGTTAATTTCTTTAATTATTCCATGACCAATAAAAAGACTTCATAAAATCACAAACTCTACCTCTAATTCTCTCGACTTGCCTCTCATTTCCAGTCTCTATTTGGATCAAAACGAGAGCATCATTTCCTTGTCAATGTCGAACTCAACGCCCATCTCTCCCTTTCCGGTCGTCACGGAGACTGCCGCATCGGCACCAGCCACGGTGGTGGTGGGTGTCAACGACGCGAGTAGGAAGAGAGAAAGGCCGAAGACGTACGATCGTGATTATAAAGGGAGGTTTACCACAAAAGATGGGACATTTACGCCGAGGTCGTCGTTGAGGAACAGAAGAGGTAAAGCTTTGCTCTCTTACAATACCATAAACTAATAATATGTAACACGATCGATAATACAACTATTTGAGTTTCGTTATTGGCGAGGGGATCGGACAAAACTAATCTTATATTTCTTGTGGTCGAAAGAAACGATTAGAGAATATGAATCTAGGGTTCAAATTACTTGGAAACACCCACTCTCTTGTAGTCTTGTGTAAGGGCATAGGGAAATTAATCGAAGGAAAACACATAACATGTCAATTTAGTTTTGTAAACATAAAACATATTATTTGTTGAGAATATTATTTGTTGTAAAACAATAGAAAAACTGATAGTTCTGATGGATTTGAATGTGTTTTTGATTGAAGGTGGCATGTCTATGAGGTTTGGAGGAGGGGACTTCAAGCCGCATATGTTCACAGTTAACAAAGGAGAGGTATATCTATAATTTATGCATACTTATTTATTTATTTCATTTGTTGTTGTAAAACAAAACCTTTTTGTTTTTCAGAACTATGATTTTAGATTTTTAAGATTATCCTTTAGTCAAAGCCAATAACATTTCTCTTCAATTCACCACAATGTAATTCACACATATATATTTAATCCACACAAAACAATTATAACAAAACTCTTTTTAAAACAGATTTAGTTCAGTTCAACTCGAGTTTTTAATGAGTTGGAGCTATGGTTTTAGATTCTTTTTATACATGGATTAGGTATGCAAATTTATTCAAGTTAGTAAAGTAGACGAGTTAACTCTAATGAATCAAGAATAGATTCGTGAATAAATTTGGTTTATATATAATGGTAATATAATTATTTGTTTTTAGTTTTACAACATACGATAACGGTAATATTTTTATTTCTTTGTTATTTTCGATTATCTTAACGTGTTCGTAACATTGTTACTTTATTTACCAAGTTATATATTGTTCAATTTTTGAGGGCTTAAGAATATTTATTTTCTGCTAACTATAAAAATTTTAGAACCATACAATGTTTCATCATATACAACTTGCAATATGATGTGGATGAACATTTCATTCTTAGATCATCGAAGACTTTCAAATGGAAGAGATTTAACTTTCATTTGGATAATAACTGCATTTGACAACTATTTATTTAGGGCTGTTTTTTGAATATTTGACTCTTAAAGTTTTCTTCTGGATATATTTGTTTAGAGGTTTTTTTTGTTATTATATATGTTTACAATGTTTAGTTTAACCCGCGAACTAACTCTTTTAACTCACGATTTGAATGATATGGATTCAAATTTTTAACACAAGCTCATAATAAATGAGCTGAATTAAACTAACTCATGAAGTAATTTAATTCATTATAAGTTGAGTAGAATTGAGTGAATTAGCTCATTTTAACACTCCTACTAATTTTATAAACATGGAAGGACTAGAAGATTAGTTCTACCTAACAGAGAGATGAACAATTAGACTATATGTGTTGAAGATATATGATGAGAGGTTTTATATATTTGTCTTTTTGCTGGTCTCGTTACAGGATATTATCGAGAGAATCATGTCCTTCACTGAAAATGGTTCTCGTGGGATCAATGTTTTGTCAGCAAATGGTGTGGTTGCTAACGTCAAGATTCAACTTCACAGTTCAACCAGCAGGGTCGTGACGTATAAGGTATATGATAAACTTGGTCTTGCAGTCCAATCTTATAACTTAATGGTTCATGTTGGAAGGATGCATTATAAGTTTGGTCTATAAATAGGTTAATAAGTTGTCTTAACATGAAAGATAACCAGTCATTTGGATAGGATAATGATAACAATTTGGTGTAGGATGAGTATGAGATAGTATCGCTGACCAATACAATGGCGATATCTGAGAGCGGAGGAGTGAAAAATAAGACGGGAGGGTGGCGGATTATGATTGGTGGAGCTCCTGGTGCAAGTGTCTTTGGTGGTACTTTGGCTGGGAGTCTCATTGCAGCAAGTCCTGTCCAAGTAAGAACACAAAGCATCTTCTTTATTTATGCATGGATAGTTCAAAGTTTGTAGCTATATCTTATAATTCCTTTTTATAGGTTGTGATTGGAAGTTTCTGGCCGTTGGTCTCAAAACCGCCTCAGACGATGAAATATGTGTTGGCTTCTTCCACAACACCAAACTTGGTGGCTTCTTCCACAACACCAAACTTGGTGGCTTCCTCATCCACAGGGAAAGTCCAACAACCAGATATGATTCGCCCTTCTCGCTCTCAGAAGAGGAACGATGAGTCCAACAGAGCTATGGTTGTTTTTTCACCTACAACACCAAACTTGTTGGCTTCATCATCCAATGTACAAGCCCAAGAACCAGATATGATTGGCCCTTCTCACTCTCAGAAGAGGAACGATGAGTCCAACAAAGCTATGGTTGTTTTTTCACCCACAGAACAAGACCAACAACCAGATATGATTGGCCCTTTTCACTCTCAGAACAGGAACGATGAGTCCAACGATGTGATTCTTCTACCCACAGTACAATACTTATTGGCTTCCTCATTCACAGGACAACTCCAACGTCAACCAGAGATGATGAGGAACGATGAGTCGTCCCAAGCTGTGGTTGTTCCACCTGGAATACCAAACTTATTGGCTTCCTCATTCACCGGACCAGAGATGATAGAACCTTCTCATTCTGAGAAGGACGATGAGTCTTACCCTTCTCAGTTTCTGACTCTAGGGTGGTACAACTCTACACCGGAGCAAGACAAGTAATCTCATCAGAAACTTTTAACATTGGACTCTTAAGTTCATAAAAGTTTCTAAAAAACTGGGGATCTTTGCTATCATTTTCATTTTCGTTGGACTTCATTGTTGAATTTTCAATGTTATTTCTTTTTGAACTTTTAAACATTCAGCTCATTGGTTTCTTTACAATCCAATGGACAAAATAAAACTTGTTTCCTTCACATTTGCTTCTCTTTGTTTCAACATATCGTAACATTGCTAAAATTTCAAACACTTGAGAGGATTGAACAAATGATGAAAAATAAGTGATTCAACTTTATTATTAGAATTGAAATAGGTAGACTTTTTTTATGTGTTCAATAGTAGTAAGCAAAAGAAGAGAATTATTCATAATACGAAACTTCAACAAACTAATAATCATGGAAGATTAAGAGACAATCTTCGACACTTTGCGGTAGAAAGACCAATCGGGATGAGAAGAATCGATCTTGGGCTGTCCAAAAGAATGCTCTTTTATGTAAGCCTGAACATCCGATGATTTCGCTAAACCGTCCAAGTAAGAACAGAACTCTCCTTCTGGATCTAACATAATAGAAAACAGTACAGCCATAAACCAAAAAGCATGTCTAAAGATAGGAGATGAACATCAAAAATTTTCACTGTTTGCTTACCAAGTAAGTTATCCTTTTTGTTAGAAGCATCATAGCTCATTGGAAACAGACCAGTATTATCCTGAATGCACAACAAGATTGATTAAAGTTAGGAGCAAGAACTCAAGCTGATCGATAAACAACACTATTATAGAGATTAGAGTGTTCTACAGGATTACGAAGAGCTTTATAGGGTTCATCTTCAATGAAGATGGTGTTTGAAGCAGAGAAGCTTTTAAAGCACTGAAACACTTTGGAGAGATCTTTAAAGAACAGAGGCTTGCGACTATTCTCTAGTGTTTTAAATCCACTGTCCGTACACTTTTCTTGGTCCTACAATAAAAGAGTAATCGAAATTATATATATAAATAGTAGACACACATCTCTATACTAATGAGAGTCTTACCCACACAAAGAGAAGCTTATCTTGGAGATTTTCAAGCACAATGCTTAGAATGATGTCAACGTTTTTCCTATCAGTCAAACACATGAAGGATCATATCAACTTACTATTAAGCTTAAGCAATCATCAACATTAATCTGTAGTTATAAGAACGTAGAGTGAAGAGGCTAACTCGCAAGCAGAGGACCAAATTCCAACTTCGAATCTCTCAAGACAAAACTTCATAAACGCTTCAGCAAATGGCCTCTTATACACTAAACAGAAAAGAGACAAACCCAATCAAGCTATTAATACAAAAAGATAGGAAACTAATAAAACAATAATGAAACGTTACCAAGATTTGGGCCACAAGAAGCATCAGGAGAGCGGTTCTTGGGTTTCTTACGCATCTCTTTTTTGTGGACTCTGTGAAGAAGAAGACCACTTAGACTCAAGACCAAGAGTTTCTTCTTCTCCTTCTCGGGTTCTATACTAAGTTTACCCAGGATCGAACTCAGTTCTGTCTGCTCTGAAACTGTGTCACCCGAGTACTCATCGTCGCTGTCGTCGGACGCAAGCAAGCTCTTCTTATTCTTTTCTTCAGCCATTGTTGTGCTTGATGTCGGTAAGACTCATATGGTGCATATATATATAGTAGAGGATTTAGTCATTTAAGGTGGTGACGAATGGCGATTTAGCTTCACGAGATCAATCAAAGCCATTTATTTGGCGTTTTTCTTTATGCGGCTCTTTGGATACTCACAAAATCTTTTTTGTACTTATCCTTTAATTATTTTTCTAATGTAACTATCTTTTTCACTTTTTCTGTTCATCGAAGAGACGAAGACCATTTAGTAATTGACTTAAAATACCAATAAGATAATTCCACCTGTCATACATGGGCAATGTCGATACATCTTTCCATCGTTTTGAAAGGATTTTTTTTTTCTTACCGTATATGAATAAATGAGTCTCATTTAAAGGATTTATACATCTTTTAATTTTCACTTCTCTTTTTCTTCGAAGACCATCCAACTTGGTACTTGGTAGTGTGAATTGACTTAAACGACCAATCAGAGAATTCCATCTGTCAACTTTTAATATATATGGACAAATCTCGGTACAGTACATTTTTTCATCTCTTTTAAAGTTGTTTTTCTTTTCTTTTTCTTATATGAAACTCATTTAAAAGCTGAAGACGAAAAACCTGTAAATCTACATTGAATCGACGCTGATTGATAATGTTATTTCTTGTTTACCATTTGTTTTCTTGTTATGATTTGGAGAATCTCTCACTAATTTCTATCAAAAGAAACTAAAGGCTTGGAAGAAGCCTAATGGAAAATTTGTGCTATGTTTTTTCCTAAAAAAATTTTATATAAGTAGACGAATTTGTTTACTATTTTTTCAGATAAAACATGAAAAAATTACATAATTCGACGAAATTTAAATTATTTAACAAAACTATAGAATTGCCGTCAAAAAAAAAAAACAAAACTATAGAATTTCATACTAAAACATGAAAATCATGAGACTACCCTATGGAGGGGATTTGGTTCACTAAAGTTTCTATATTATCTATAAATTTGTAGAGGCCCAAAGTTTTTGACCCATAAACATTGTATCCATTTAAGTTTTTGGTTTAACGAAAACCCTTAAACAAAAAAAAAGTGAAATTTCTACTAGTACTGTTTCTATATTCATCACACCATCCAAATTCAAACATGGCATAAAAACATGTTATTGACAAATCAAAAAAGGAAAAAATGAAACATATAATGGAAAAATGGAATAAAATCAAGATCCATATATTAAGTACTTGTTCTAAAGTTCTAGAAAAGAGTCGAATTACTTGGACAAGGAGCAAAGAAAATAGAAAAAAACTCTTCTCTTCTTCAAAAGGCGTGCAGCACATCGTTTTGGCTTCTTCTTATACATCTGACGAACCAACCTTTTCTCATCCAACGGTTGTTATTAAAACAATCCAACGGCTTTGGATTAACCCGTGACTTGTTTATATATCGAACCAGACCACCAACCCAATTCCTCAGCTACTACTGTTAAGCGATTCTCACTAAAACCCTCGAACACATCGCCCTTATCTCTCTCTCTCTCTAGATCTACTCGCTATGGCTACTATCACCGGTGTTAAGGCTAGACAGATCTTCGACAGCCGTGGTAATCCCACCGTTGAGGTTCGTTTTTCCGTTCACTTTTGTATTTTCCGATCACTGTTTATCGGAGGCGGATCTGTTTGTTTGATGAGTATCAGATGCTGCAATCTCTGTTAATCTATATTTAATCGTTTTTTTTTGTAAACCTGAATTGATCTATGAGTCGTACGTGAATGAGATTTGGTTTTTGTGAGCGATGATCGGTGTTTTGATCTCGGCGAATCGGAACTTATGATTTGTGTTTGTTGTTTTATTTTGGATCGTGAGTTGTCGATGATCGGTGTTTATATGATTTTTGCGACGGATCTGTCTATTTCCATCTGGTTTTTACGATTTCGATTGTTTGCTAATGATGAAATTGAAAGAAAGCTAATGATTGTTCTGATGATGTTTTAGGTTGATATCCACACATCCAGTGGTGTCAAGGTTACAGCAGCTGTTCCTAGTGGAGCTTCCACTGGTATGTTGCTATTTATCTCTGTTCTGTCCTAATTTTTTCTTTGTGTATACGAATATTGTATGGTTGACACTGTATTTGTGGACTGTTGCTGTTGATAGGTATCTACGAGGCTCTTGAGCTTAGGGATGGAGGTTCTGACTACCTTGGAAAGGGTGTCTCTAAGGTGAGACTGCGATCTGGTCTTTGTGTTTTTTAGTGGAAGTGGAGTTATCTCAATTGATCATTTTGACTGATTCGTAATTTGTTTTATATCACTAGGCTGTTGGCAATGTGAACAACATCATCGGCCCAGCACTTATTGGAAAGGTGAGTCTCTCTTTAATCTACTTTTCAGAACATCAAATTTGTGTCTAAGTCTATGCACAAGGCTCATTCATGTTAATTTTGTTGCTTTTATTGTTTTGTTCAGGACCCAACTCAGCAGACTGCTATCGATAACTTCATGGTCCATGAACTTGATGGGACCCAGAATGAGTGGGGTTGGTGCAAGCAAAAGGTAGTTAAAGTGAAAATTCATCTTTTGTGTATTCACGCAATAATAAAAGACAAGTCTGATAATCTTGCGTCTTCTTTCTGTGTATAGCTTGGAGCCAATGCGATTCTTGCTGTGTCTCTTGCTGTCTGCAAAGCTGGGGCTGTTGTCAGCGGCATTCCTCTATACAAGGTAGAACGATTTTCCACTATTAAGTTGGTTCCCTCTGTCCATGGAGGATAAGATTGTTACTGCTTTGGCTACTTGGTTTTTCTTGTACTAGATGTTCTAAGCTTTTCCCTTTATGTGTCATTTGGGTGCAGCACATTGCCAATCTTGCTGGTAACCCTAAGATTGTGCTTCCAGTTCCTGCCTTCAACGTCATCAATGGTGGATCCCATGCTGGAAACAAGCTTGCTATGCAGGTGCGTTCATTTTGATCCTTTTCAATTGACATGTCAAATTGTAGGCTTCTTCAGTTTTGAATATATATTGAGCTATTGGTGTTTGCAGGAGTTTATGATTCTCCCTGTTGGAGCTTCATCTTTCACGGAAGCCATGAAAATGGGTGTGGAAGTTTACCACCACTTGAAGGTAAATCTCCAGTCTTTTTGTTCTATGAGATGCTCGTCAATAAAATATGCCATATACATGTATAACCTATTCGCAGCTGCTGTATCTAATTCTTCTCGACTAACATGTATTACATGTTTTCTTTTATGGCTTAACCATCTCTTGTTCTCATATGTTTTTCCAGTCTGTGATTAAGAAGAAGTACGGCCAGGATGCCACAAATGTTGGTGATGAAGGTGGCTTTGCTCCAAACATTCAGGAGAACAAGGAAGGTCTTGAATTGCTCAAGACTGCTATCGAGAAGGCTGGCTACACCGGAAAGGTCTGTCTCTTACCTGATGTAGTTTAGCTGTCCTTTCACCCGAAACATAATTCATGAAGCTAATGGATCCCATTCAATTTTTTCCAGGTTGTCATTGGAATGGATGTTGCCGCTTCAGAGTTCTACTCATCAGACAAGACCTACGACTTGAACTTCAAAGAAGAGGTGCAACTTCTTTTCCTTAGTAACCACTTCCTTGTCAGGATTGAATGCGAGTAAAATGCTCTTAACTTCTAGTTGTTATGCTATTTGTTTCTCTGTAGAACAATGGTGGTTCTCAGAAGATTTCTGGTGATGCTCTCAAGGACCTGTACAAGTCCTTTGTTTCTGAGTACCCAATTGTGTCCATTGAGGACCCATTTGACCAAGATGATTGGGAGCACTATGCTAAGATGACCAGTGAGTGTGGAACCGAGGTTCAGATTGTGGGTGATGATTTGTTGGTCACCAACCCCAAGGTCTGTTTTTATTTGCCAGTGTTTACCAGTGTTTTCACCAGTTTTTTGTCTGCCCTCTCTGAAAATGCTAACATCTCTGTTATACTCTTTTCTTATTCCAGAGAGTTGCTAAGGCAATCGCCGAAAAGTCTTGCAATGCTCTTCTTTTGAAGGTACCCTCATCACTATTATCTGTTTGGTTTAATTCAAATCCTTTTTTTTTTTTCTAAAATAGTTATTAACCAAATATTTGTTAAACAGGTTAACCAAATCGGATCTGTAACCGAGAGTATCGAGGCAGTTAAGATGTCGAAGAAAGCAGGCTGGGGAGTGATGACCAGCCACCGAAGTGGTGAAACTGAGGACACATTCATTGCTGACTTAGCCGTTGGCTTGTCTACTGTAAGTTGAAACCATTTCTAGCATTTAACTAGCAATCTCCTGTTATATCTCTTGTCGGATTCTCATTTTGGATCTTTCTGTCTATACAGGGACAAATCAAAACCGGTGCTCCTTGCAGATCCGAGCGTCTTGCCAAGTACAACCAGGTTTAACATCTCAGACCACTAGTAATGATTTTTGTATGTTTGACAACAAGAGCACATTGTCTAATCTGTGTGTTTGTTGCTTAACAGCTTTTGCGTATCGAGGAGGAGTTGGGATCAGAGGCAATTTACGCTGGAGTCAACTTCCGCAAACCTGTGGAACCCTACTAAGTGGAGCTTTTAGAAGCTAAGCGGTCTTCTTTGTGACGACGAGAAGATGACTTGAGTTTGGTCATTTGCTTAATTAAATAAAAACGTTTGTTTTTGTTTCTTTGTTTGGTTTTTATGTTTATTGTTGAACCCTTTTTTGGGGGAAAAGTTACTCATTTTTGTAAGGGAAACATGAGAGTGCTCTGCCTCTATGGAGGACGGTAGCCCTTATATCAATCTAATTTCGGCTTTACACTTTACTTTTCTCCTGTGATTGTTATGACTTATGATATCTCCAGTGATTTATGGAGTTTGTTCTCCTAGGCTGCCATTATTTGCCTGTTAACAAAAAATTAAAAGAAGTTATACATAATACAGTATGTTGAAATTGCAACTCTAATAAAGGTTTCAGAAGAAACCTTCTTGTGTTCATGACTATTAATTATCTAGAGTTCAGAGGTGTTACACTATCTGAAACAATCATACGAAATTGGATCGAAGACTTTTATCGTTCACTTAAACGCTGAAATAACCCATGCAACTAATGATGAATGATTAATTTCTTGAATTTGGGTTAAGGAATAATGTTAAATACTTGTAATAATGTTAAATACTTGTTTTATCAATCTTTATACAAGAAAGCAGGTTTGCCCGAGTGGTTAAGGGGGAAGACTTAAGTTCTTCTGCACATAAGTGCGCGTGGGTTCGAACCCCACAGCCTGCATTTATCATTTTATCTCTTTTTTTTTTTGAAATTTTTGTAGAGGACAAGTTTTTTTTGTTTTGTTCAATGCTTTCAATTCATGAAGTACTTATAAAAAAAAAAAGGAAAAAATGCAGGCTGTGGGGTTCGAACCCACGCGCACTTATGTGCAGAAGAACTTAAGTCTTCCCCCTTAACCACTCGGGCAAACCTGCTTTCTTGTCTTTTGACCATTCTAAGATGAATCACAATTCTCAGACCATTAAGGAACAAGTCTTTTTTTTTTGTTAGTCAAGTAACAAGTTTTATTATTGCTGCTTTGCAGTGTGAATCGTAAGAAAAAAAAGACAAAGTAACAGTGTAAGTGTGTAACACAATTAAGTTCCCATTCAACATATCATTTCTTGGAACGTTTCAAGTAAACAAGTAAACCTATGCTCGTTAGGACTATAGCCCCAGCCAAGACGCCAGTCTGCCACCAAATACAACCGCCATTTCCCTCGGACAAATCTGCAATCGTCTCAAGAGGAGCCATGGTCTCGGTGAAATCAAGGTGCAGTCGCAAAACCTTTTGCCCCAAAGACCTGGCAAAAGTTACAGCAGCAACAAGATCACTGTCCCTACTAATCAAAACTTTGTCACCTTCATCATCTTGGTACATTATCTGAAGTCCTGAATCCGCTTCGCATCTTTGCATCATAACACTCATCAGCTCTTCAAGGCTCTCACCAGTTGAGTTAAACCGATGTACTCTCCCTTTACGATCTTCGAATTTGAAAGCAAACGAGCTCACAAGTCCTTGTGATGGACACGACTGCTTCCCTTCTGAATTTATCAGCATTGCTGACATATCGCTGTGTGTTTCGTAATCCTCGGGTGGATCTAACGCAAGAGCTGAGTCCCAGAACTTTTGCATCATCGTATTTGCCATATCGTTAACAGCTCCTGCGCTGTTGTTCTCAACCGTTGAAATAGCGGCGTGAGTTATCTGCAGCACGTCTAAACAAGCTACGGCGAATCCGTCTTTATCTAAAACCGGAAGATGCAAGAACTTCCCATCGTGCATTATATGCAATGCGTCGAGGATTGTTGTCTCTATTGATGCACATTCAGGATTTGGTGTCATTACCTTTTCAACAAGAGTCAGCTCAGGAGATAGATTCTGTGCCACAACTCTCATCAGAATGTCCTTTGAAGTTAGAATCCCGTGAATCTTGTTCCCAACCGCGATGATCACAGAATTAACCCGCAAATCCCGCATCCTTTTGGAAGCTACAAAGACAGGATCTGATGCTGATACAAGTGCAACTTTGGTATTCTCAGTGACTATTGTTGACAATGCAGGCTTGAACATCCGCTCCCTCAATGTGTCGATGAAAGCGAAATTTCCGCTTCCCCAATGTCGTTCTTCCACTGCAGTGGCTAAAGCACTTCCTTGCTCTGCGGCTTTTTCCATCCGAGAGATAGCATCATAGAGGCACTTTGTAATATCCAACAGAGCAATGACTTCACCATTCTCTACAACAGGCAAATGCCTGAACTTTCCCTGAACCATCTTCTGAAGAGCCTCGATGGCGAGTGAATCGGATGTGACAAAAATGGGATTCCTTGTCATGACTTTAGACACCAGAGTATGCTCTGGTCTCAACCCTTCTGCAATCACCCTCGTGGCTATATCCTTATCGGTAACAATACCGGAAAGAAGAGCGCTTGAATCAGTCAACAAAACCGCATCAACACGCCGAGCAGCCATCCTTCGACAAGCATCAAAGACGGTGGTTCCCTCATTAATGGTGAGAGCTTTGGATAACCGTAGCTTCTTAACAGTTCTCTCGCCATCAGAAACCGGTTGAGCAAGAGGTGAATCGGGTTTGGAGATGTTCTCATTCAGGCTTCCGCTTCCGCTTTCGCTCTCTTGAGTCTCTTCTGATTGAAGAACAGGTTTCTTAGAAGCTGATGATGTTCTCCTTATACTTGAAATGCTTCTCCTTCCAGATGAAGTTGGTGTAGTCGTCATATTTAAGTCTTTAATCACCACCCATCAATCTACAAAACCAGACAAGAAGAAATCAATCATTTGATTCATAATCTCTTTACATGTTCTAGAAAGAAAAAAATCTTCTTTTCGATAATCAAAACCATTACCAAACAACAAAGCATATTAAACAAATTTATTTCCAGATTTAGGACATTCAGACAAATTGAATCACATTAAACAAATTCATTAACATAAGGACATACATTACATATCTAAAGATTTTGGAGATTCAGACAAATTCAGGGTATCAATAATGAACATGAAGACAATGAGAATTCCATAATCCAACAAATTTCGGAAAATCTGATTCATATCTAAATGAAAGAATCTAACCTGTGAAATGCTATTCAATGGCGTTGAAGGATTTGGAAAAGTTTGAAACTTTCAGCTGTTGGTGTAATGTAGATTGTATGGGTTGGTGTTTTCGTGTTGTTTCCAAATCTTTCTTATGTTTCGTCTTCTATGAGCAAAACCCAATAATCAAAATCACAAATTTATATGTTTTGATCTTAAGAAAACTCACAAGGCTTTGATTCCAGAAATAAGACTTTTCCTTCGCTATCTGTTCTTTTTTCTCCTTTTTTGAGTTTGTTTTCTATTTTTTTTTTTAATTCGTTATCGTCATCTTCCTTAACAACGTGTCTGGTGGTTGGTTTCTATCACTCAACCCAAAATTAAAAGGAAGATTAAATAGTACAATAATTCTGTTATGGTTGTTAAGTAAGCTATGTTTAATAAATGAGGATTACCTTAAATTGGTGGTTACTAGTTGGTGTCCTCAGTAGATAATTGTAACTTTATCTATTAAGAGTGAGTTGTTTGGAATAAACAACTTATGTTATCACCATTAATCGAGATAAGTTGTTTTCGTAAAGGTTTAAGAAAATTTATTTTCTTGCCTATTGTTTAATTTATAGATAATTCTAAATTTAATGAATAATTACATTTTTTATTAAGTTTTTATTTTATTTTTTATTACAATGTAGTATTACCAATATAATTTATAGAGTTTTTTTTTTTGTTTTGTTTCTATAATTTTGGATTTTTTAGAAAATATCCATCTCGTCAAAAATATGTTTTTCTCGTTCGTTTGTTTATCAAAAGAGTCGACTTATATATACATTCTACAATGAATGTTCTAATCAGACGAAAGTGTTGAAACTTATAAAAAGTGTGATCTAGAAGATAGATCAACATTGATATGGGAAAAGAACAGTTGAAAAAAGCATGCATTAATAAATAAAGTATATACTTAAGTGGTTATTGTAGTCTTCTTCACTGTGACTTGTGAATTTTATGATCGGAAGATGGCACTTGGCTTCCACTTGGCACTATCTCACTTTGCATGAAATCACTATGTGGTCTTTGACTCTTTGTGTCTTTTGGTTTTTGATACTTGATACAAAAGCATTGATAATATCATAGCATTACGTGTGCCGTTCAAGAGGTTTATAATAAGATAAGAATTAAGTGCTTTGCTAAAAAAAAAAATGTAATTTATTGTCACTGTAAACACTTTTCAGTTTTCATGCATGGTCATGGTGAATGAATTAGAGAGTTAAATAAATCTGATACATGACGTGGATGGTGAGAGAGTGCTATCATTCACACGTCTCACACAGTGCGTGAAACGGGAATCTCCTGCCACCGCTTGAAGACGAAGGACTTTATGGGATAAATTGAGACTTTTCGTTTATGTTTTCTTTCGTTACTAATATTTTTTTTTTTTTTATGTTTGAGACGAATTTTATAAATATATTGGACGGATAATTGGGAGTGGAAATGTTCATTGGCGTACATAGGAGTTGTTGTTTTTTTTCTTTCTAAATTTGTGGACGAGTTCGATCTTTGGAAGTCATACAGAACTCCATTTTTTAAGGGTCAGACGTCGAACGTTTTAGGGTAAATCAAACGACGGTTATTGCGAAAGCTTTTTGTCAGTGGAAGCTTTATAGTGGCAAAATTTTCGTAGAGCGGATCTGTTGGAGTAAGCTTGAAGTTAACTTGTACCGGAAGCAACTAAACCAAGTTATGGTTTAGAGAGGATAATATCGAAGAGAAGATAATGTCAAATATATTAGGAGTTATCTAATATATACAGAATCCTAGTGAGATTAGGATTTGAGTTTCTTGTATAAATAGATAGGTTGAGGCATGACCTATTTGTGTGAGAGTTGTGTGGATTAAGAGAGAACAAGAGCTTAAGTTTTGAGTTAGTTTCTTAAGCATAATAAAGTGAGTTTTACTTTATTGATCTTGTAGTTTTATTCATACAAATCTCTATTCTATAGGATCGTGACAGCAAATGAAAAATATTTTTTCAAAAAACTTTTGACGCTTAATCAGAAAATAATCACAAACATGTTAAAAACCAAATGAAGAAGGTATGGGAATTACTTTTCCAAAAAAAAATAAAAAAAAAGGACTACGTACGTGAATGATACCATATAATAATTTAGCTACTACGTGATTTAATATATATGTCGTTTGAGTGAGTTTAGTAGGAAGAGTAAAGAAATAGGATCATTCTTAACAAGTATTTTCTCGAAAAAATATGAGTTGAATAAGATAATTGATATCAAAAGTGAAAAATCGAAGTATTAGATTCGTAGGTCAGTATTTCAAATAAAAGAATCAAGATGTTTTTTTTTTTTTTTTTTTTTTTTTTTTAGAATCAAGATGTTTTTTTTAGAATCAAATAAAAGAATCAAGATGTTTATAGTTGCGGAGTTATAAGCGATCATTTATATGATGCTTTTAGCAGATGGACTAAAAAATTTGGAGACTCTAGGTCTAAGTTTCACTTGCTCGACTAAAAATATTGATCGGAATGCATCATGCATGGATATTATATGCATGTTTGAAGCGATGGCTTTGTCAAGCTCTCCAAACATAACTCTGCTAACCATACATTTTGATATATTTCATATAACACTTTGGCCGGCCATATATTGGTCATATCAATGTAAAAGTATTACATGTTTGCAGCGATGGCTTTGTCAACTTTTCCAAATACAACTCTGCTAACCATACAACCACATGTCGTGTGATGTTTAGATCTTATATATATAATAGTCCAAAACCACTTACTCATATATTTATATAACTAGTGCCTTTTGGTATTGATATGTTAATTTCTGATAATTACAGTTTAATTCAATACTAAAAGCTAAATCAGTTTATTTTTTTTCTTTGATTTGGTTTTTAAATCTATTTATATGATCAGTTTAATTGTTTAAGATAAACTTCAAATCGAGTAAAGAAAATTAGAAATTCACTTTGAATCAGTCTATTCTGCCATAATCTTCATATGGCGAACCCTTTTTTCTTTAACATTTTTTAAAAAAGAAACCTTAATCATATCCGGAGCAAGTTTCCATAACCAAAAGCAAAATATAAAAGGACTTACTCTCAAGTTAAGCGTTTAGGATCAAAGTATGGATTAGCTTCGTAATTTCAACTTAGGTTTAGTTCTATTATTTTTGACTTAGGTTTAGCTATATGAATTCGAATTTTTTTGTCCCATATTTAGTTGTATTATTATCAGTAATAGTTTTAAACATTCGAATAATCCGTTCCCAACTTTTATACACTATTATTCGTCTCGGTTTCTAGGATAGATATGTCCACACACAAAAAAAGCTCTTGATTATTTTTTTGTTTCAAATTCCAAATTTGTTGGCTTATAACCTATATATACCCAATCATTAGGTCATGACCACGAGTGAGTCACTCATAAGTCATAACCAATCCGACTAACTCCAAGTATCATCTTAGATTCCAACAAGTTCATGAAATAAATGATTCACAATACTCATTTCTCATGTACGTCTCTTTTGAAGGTTACAATATCAAGATTAGCACACTAATTACTTTTTTCATTCATATTCACACACATGACACATATATACACAAATATGGTGCATTACATTTTACTAGCTCACATCGGTAGACTAAATTATTGATTGTAATTTTCTTTTCATTGAACCATGAGAGAGTTAGTTATATAATTCACTAACACATTTGGAGAAAAGCAAAAGATTTGTTAGGGGACTAGCCTAATAATCACCCAACAACCTACTCCCATATACTAGTGGAAAATTATAGTTCTAAAACGAATCATCTAACTTTTGTATATTTAAACGAAAACGTGTTAATTTATGAAATTACGTGAAAATTTAATTAGTAAAATAACATGTTATTGATTACATAATTGTTTAAATCATACACACAAAAATTCATATTTTGATGAGAATTTTTTTTATAACTAACCTTCGTTTTTTTTTTTTGGTAGGCTTTTTATAACTAACCTTCTAATAATTTATCTTAAAAATTAAAATTATTTATTTAGTTAAATATAAAATATAAAATTAGTTAGTGCATATAACCTCGAAATATGATTACGTAAACGAGAAGAAAAACGAAAAATAAAATAAAAGAGATGACAGAGAAGACGATGATGATGACGATATTATTAACTTTACAAATCATCTTTCCCATAGTCTAGGAGACTTTGTAGAAAAGAATTATTATTTTTTAAATAAAATTCCGTGAAACTTTTCCCGCCAACCAAACGAACATTCGCGCTACATAATCAAACGGCTATGAAAGTTAGAGAAAGACACACAAACAACACACATGTTCTATCCTTTTCTTTATACATTAAGCCAAAAAAGCTTTTTCTATATTACTCATAACTTCATCGTTTCCAAGAGAAGAACGAAGCATCGGTGATCTTATCCTCTCATAGCTACCACCGAACTAACTCTCTCCATCACTTTCATCTCCACCAAAACCATTGATTCTACTGGTAAATTTTCTTTCTATGAATATTGTTTTTTTCTTACTTTTTTACATTTTGTTGTGAATCTAAAAAAGTCTCCTTACACCTAACGAACGGATTAATCGTTCATGTGGCTACTCACCCAAAATCAATGACTTCCGGAGATCTCTCTTTCTCTAAAACCCCAGAAAAAAGTGGATCTAATCATTTTTATATAGTCGTGAAAGTTTTAAAATTGGTGATCACTTCACATTTTTATTGAACTTTTTGCAGTCGAAAAATAGAAAGTTTCAAGCTTTTTCTCAAATTCCGGCGGAAAATCAAATGATTCTGATTAAGGAAGAGTGAAGAAGAGTCAGAGTCAAAACAGAGTAAGAAATGGAGAAAGAAGGGAGAGAAGGAAGCAGCTTTCAACAACCTCCATGGATTCCTCAGACACCCATGAAGCCAATTTCTCCGATCTGCCCATACACGGTGGAGGAACAATCTCATCGGAGTCAAGTGGAGGAAAGGTTTGTGCTTTTTTGTCTTAAAGTTGTGAAATTTCAAAGAATCGTGATGGGTAATTGCTTAAGGTATTGATGCATGCAGGAGATTTGTTGGGAACAAGGACATGAGTGGTCTTGATCACTTGTCTTTTGGGGATTTGCTGGCTCTAGCTAACACTGCATCACTGATATTCTCTGGTCAGACTCCAAAACCTACAAGTAAGAGGGCTTTTGATTCTGGTCTGATGAGAAATGAAATTGCATTGTCAAATTTTTGTTCTATCTAAGTTGGACTGAGAAATATGTGATTCTCAATGTAGCTAACACAGAGATGCTGCAAAAAGGTATTGAAGAAGTGGAGAGTTTGAGCTCAGTGAGTAACAATGTTGCTGACCAGATCCTCAAGACTCCTGAAAAACCAAAGAGGAAGAAGCATAGACCAAAGGTTGTTAGAGAAGCTAAACCCAAGAGGGAGCCTAAACCACGAACTCCGAGGAAATCTGTTGTTGCTGATGGTCAAGAAACCAAAACGCCAAAGAGGAAATATGTGCGGAAGAAGGTGGAAGTCAATAAGGATCAAGTGTCTACTCCGGTTGAATCATCAGCAGCTGTAGAAACTTCAACTCGTTCTAAGAGGCTTTGTAGACGAGTCTTGGATTTTGAAGCCGAAACCGGAGAAAACCAGTCCAACAGTGACATTAGACAAGCAGGTGAGATGGAATCAACTCTTAAAGAGAAGCAGTTAAATTCTGGGAATCAAGACTTAAAGGATTGCTTTCTCTCGGCGCCTAGCACGCCCAAGAGAAAGCGCAGCCAAGGTAAAAGAAAGGGAATTGAACCAAAGAACAATGACAGTAACCTAGAAGAAGTTGATATTTCGATGGCACAAGCTGCAAAGAGAAGACAAGGAAAAGAACCAACTTGTGGTGACATAAATCTATCAGGGATTCAGTACGATGAGCAATGTGACTACCAGAAGATGCATTGGTTGTATTTCCCGAACTTGCAACAGGAAGGGATTAGATCTGATGCCATCTGCAGCAAAGCATTCACTGGACAACTACACAAAGATGTTTCTGCCTTTCACGCTAAGTGCTACAGTTCAACATCTCAGCCCAGTGCTAATAGAGTCCTAACAATTGAAGAAAGACGTGAAGGTATCTTTCAAGGAAGGCAAGAGTCTGAGTTCAGTGTTCTCTCGGATAAGATAGACACGCAGATAAAGAAGAGAACAGGCCATGCTCGTTTCCGGAATTTGTCTTCCATGAATAAACTTGTGGAAGTTTCTGAGCAGTTATCCTCAGGATATTATAGCAAGCCACAGCAAAATAATAAGATTCTTGTTGATACACGGGTGACTGTGAGCAAAAAGAAGCCAACCACTAAGTCTGAGAAATCACAAACCAAACAGAAAACTCTTCTTCCAAATCCTTGCCAGTTTCCAGCTTCATTTTCTGGTAATGAATACTTACACAATTATATTTCTTTGTTTTGTTGAATCAATTGAATGCAGACTATTTGTTGATAATGATGATAATGATGATGTTTGATTCCTGCAGGTTTTTCTCCAGATGAACTTTGGAAACGACTTAACTCGATCGAAGCAATTAGTGAGCAATTGCGTCTATTAGACATCAACAGGGAGAATTCTGAAACTGCTCTCGTTCCTTACTCAATGAGAAGCCTAGGAAACCAGATTGTACTCTTCGGAGGTGGCGCTGGAGCAATTGTGCCTGTGACTCCTGTGAAAAAGCGGCGTCCACGACCAAAGGTTGACCTAGACGATGAGACAGACAGAGTGTGGAAACTGCTATTGGAGAATATTAATAGCGAGGGTATTGACGGATCAGACGAGCAGAAGGCGAAATGGTGGGAGGAAGAACGTAATGTGTTTCGAGGACGAGCAGACTCATTTATAGCACGGATGCATCTTGTACAAGGTTACTCACCACACTTTTCCTTTACGTGTTTTTGTTCTAACCACATGGTTTCAGTTAGTATTTGATCTATAACTTGTATAGCTCAGTTATAACTTGTTATGGTCTTCGGTTTTCTAACAGGGGATCGACGTTTTACGCCTTGGAAGGGATCTGTCGTAGATTCTGTTGTTGGAGTATTTCTCACTCAAAATGTTTCGGACCATCTTTCCAGGTATAGCCCTTTCATAATTCTATGTCAAACTAAATCCAAGACGGCAACAAGTCACAAAACTAACTTGCTTTGTTTTTGTTTTGCTTTTTTTTTTTTCTTCTAGTTCGGCGTTCATGTCGCTCGCTTCGGAATTCCCAGTCCCATTAGTACCCAGCAGAACAAGCTCGATGCCTTCTATTCAAATAACGTACTTGGACTCAGAAGAATCGATGTCAAACCCACCCGATCACAATCAGAGTTCTGTTGTTTTAAAAAACACACAGCCTGATGAGGAGAAGGATTATGTACATAGCAATGAAACCTCTAGAAGCAGTAGTGAGATTGCCAGCTCAGCCCATGAATCAGTGTGCAAAACTACGGATTCAAAGGCGAACGTGGATTCAGATCGAAGAGGCTCAAGTGTAGAGGATGGTAAGACAGATCAGAAGTGCCTAGTTCTAGACCTGTTTCCATCTGAAGATTCTGCACTTACATGTCAACATTCGATTGTTTCTGATGCTCCTCAACAAAATACAGAGAGAGCAAGATCAAGCTCAACCTCCGGGATCAACTTGGAAGAAGAGTATCGTACTTCCTATATGAAACTCCTACAGGGGGTACAAGTCTCACTAGAAGAATCCAATCAGAAGAATCAGTATGACAATTCAAGGCAAGAAGTTGGGGTTTCAAGCAATCCTGGAAGCTTACAAGTGTCACCAAATATGTCTCCTGGTGATTGTAGCTCAGAAATTAAGGATTTCCAGTCACTGAAGGGGCCCACAAAATCTTTTGATGATAGTAATGAACCATGTTGTTGCTATCAGCAAGATGGGGATGTTATGAGTGGTCAGAAACCTGAGATGCCTGAAAGCTCGAGTAGTGTTTGTTCGACAAAACACAAAGAAAAGCTCGTGACAGAGACTTTGATTCCAGATATTAATGAAAGCACGAGTTGTCCTGATGTCCAAGAAGGTACAGGAAAACCACTAGGTTTTGACCCAAGGTGCAAAGAGCTTAGTCCTACGGATGATGCTACCTTAAAAGCAAAAGGAAAAAAGGTTTTGAAGGAGAAAAAAGAAGCATTTGACTGGGATAGTTTAAGAAGAGAAGCACAAGGTAGAGCAGGAATAAGAGAAAAAACAACAAGGACAATGGACACTGTGGACTGGAAGGCAATACGAGCAGCGGATGTTAGTGTAGTTGCTGAAACAATCAAGAGTCGCGGGATGAACCATAAACTTGCAGAACGTATACAGGTAAAATTTTACCCTTAGACGTGGCCAAATTTCTTGATAACTTTCATTTTAAGTATTTGACTCTGAACATGAAAATATTGCAGGGCTTCCTTGATCGACTGGTCGATGACCACGGAAGTATCGATCTTGAATGGTTGAGAGATGTTCCACCCGATAAAGCAAAGTGAGTTTGAAAGACGAAGTATTTTCTTTCTTTTTTATAAACCGCAATATACAAAGATCACTACTTAGGCAGTTCTAGTTACTCAATATTGCATTGTGTATTCTCATATATTACACAACCGTGCAGAGAATATCTTCTGAGCTTTAATGGTTTGGGACTAAAAAGTGTGGAGTGTGTGCGGCTTCTAACACTGCACCATCTTGCCTTTCCAGTAAGCATCAAATTTTTGTGTTTCTCTCTGTAAAAAGTGAATTATATGCGTAAGCTTAAGTTATTGACAGGTTGATACAAATGTTGGGCGCATAGCCGTTAGACTTGGATGGGTACCCCTTCAGCCGCTCCCAGAGTCACTTCAGTTGCATCTTCTGGAAATGTAAGCACTCTATAAAATGGTCCTACTTGGAAATTGTAGTTTGTTACTTAATACGTCTGTGGTTTGGTTTGTCTAGGTATCCTATTCTTGAAACTATTCAAAAGTATCTTTGGCCACGTCTCTGCAAACTCGACCAAAAAACATTGTAAGAAACTAAGAATGATGTTTATCACTAACTTATTTTTTTCATGCCTCATTCTAATACACTCATTCATTAGTTTAATCTCCTATTATCTCACAGGTATGAGTTGCACTACCAGATGATTACTTTTGGAAAGGTATATATTAAAGAATTACACATATACGTATGGAAAAAATCAGCTCACATAATGAGGTTTGTAATCTACTTGATTATTGTATCAGGTTTTTTGCACAAAGAGCAAACCTAATTGCAATGCATGTCCGATGAGAGGAGAATGCAGGCATTTTGCCAGTGCGTTTGCAAGGTGCTACAATATGTTCTCTTAAACCTTTAGTACCATAATGAAGAAACCCCTTATTCAAATATAAACTTGTAAATGCGAATTGGTCTGTATCTAAAGTAGCTCTGAATTGGTAAAGAAAATTGCAACCCTTTTTTGTTTTACAGTGCAAGGCTTGCTTTACCCAGTACAGAGAAAGGTATGGAGACACCTGATAAAAACCCTTTGCCTCTTCACCTGCCAGAGCCATTGCAGAGAGAGCAAGGGTCTGAAGTAGTACAGCACTCAGAACCAGCAAAAAAGGTCACATGTGAACCAATCATCGAAGAGCCTGCTTCACCGGAGCCAGAAAGTGCAGAAGTATCAATAGCTGACATAGAGGATGCGTTTTTTGAGGATCCAGAAGAAATTCCTACAATCAGGCTAAACATGGATGCATTTACCAGTAATTTGAAGAAAATAATGGAACACAACAAGGAACTTCAAGACGGAAACATGTCCAGCGCCTTAGTTGCACTTACTGCTGAAACTGCTTCTCTTCCAATGCCTAAGCTCAAGAATATCAGCCAGTTAAGGACAGAACACCAAGTGTACGTATCCATTTTCTCTGTTTTTCGTTCTTAGGTTAAAAATGAAATCAGAAACACATTTTTCAAAAACTTCCCAATACTTACAGGCTATGTCATAAAGACTTGCAATGCTAAGATATCAACAATTTTCTTCAGCTTGACTTTTATTTATAACTTGATTCTGTTTTGTTTTCCCGTATCTTGCAGTTATGAACTTCGAGACGACCATCCTCTTCTAGTTCATGTATGTGAAGTAACTGGATAAGGACACATGCTGTTTAGTGCTGTCAATATTGTAAAATCTGACTAGCATTTTGTGTTTGTTGTTACAGTTGGAGAAGAGAGAACCTGATGATCCATGTTCTTATTTGCTTGCTATTTGGACGCCAGGTGATGAATGATCTGCAGATCTCTTGATCATGAAATCAAATCGATAAAAAAGTTTCTTTAATCGCTGTGGCTTTCAACAGGTGAGACGGCTGATTCTATTCAAGCGGCTATAAGTAAGTGTATATTCCAGGCAAATGGTAAGCTTTGTGATGAGGAGACTTGTTTCTCTTGCAATAGCATCAAGGAGGCGAGATCTCAGATTGTGAGAGGGACTATCTTGGTAAGTAATTGCATCAAACTCCTTATGCCGCTAACTACACTTATGTTTCTACAGATTAATATGCTGTAAATTCTTGCAGATTCCTTGTAGAACCGCGATGAGGGGTAGTTTTCCTCTCAATGGAACATACTTTCAAGTAAACGAGGTAAGACTTGAACTCCAACAATCCAACTCTTTCAATTGAATTATATGCATTGAAACGTCTGATGTATTCTATTGATATAGGTTTTTGCGGATCATGCTTCCAGCCTAAACCCAATCGATGTCCCAAGGGAATGGATATGGGACTTGCCTCGAAGAACGGTCTACTTTGGAACCTCTATTCCTACGATATTCAAAGGTAGAAGGTCTTCTTTATTGGATTGTGATGCTGTTGTATTGTTTATATAAAAGAAGGGTGTTCTAACCACTTGTGCTCTTTTTCTCAGGTTTATCAACCGAGACGATACAGCAGTGCTTCTGGAAAGGTACATTTTGTATTAAGCTCTTGCCAGTTCTTCTTTTTCTGAAACATAACTTATCTTTTAAAACTATATAGGGTACGTATGTGTACGAGGATTTGATCGAACGACGAGAGGACCGAAACCTTTGATTGCAAGATTGCACTTCCCGGCGAGCAAACTGAAGGCAAACCAAGCTAACCTCGCCTAATCCGTAGGCAAGCAATCAAATACAGCTTATGGTTAGAGAGTGAAAGAGCACACTGTTCCAATCTAGTTAATGTAAGAAAGTGAAACGTAGAGTTAACAGTCCTAGAGTTGTAAAAGGTTTTTAGATTCCATTTTAGTTTCGTCTTAATATGTATCAAATACTACATGTCACAAGAAACAGACCCGTAGGCCGTAGCTGAATCTCTCTGTTTGCTTCGTTTGGTTTACATCTGAATTTACGGTTAGCTTTTGGTTACCTGAATCAAGATCTGGTTCGATATGTGGAGGATCTCACTTAACTTGGTTTAAATCAGATGGTTTAACCGGACCATAGAATTCTATTGTTGTCCGTAATAATATTAGACGACGGGCCTATTATACATGGATCTTTTAACATTTTTTTGTCACGTCTCCTTATATTTTATTTTTATTTTTTTGGCAACTCACGTCTCCTTAATTAAATTCCCAATTTAAGTTAGGGTTGTTGTTGTATTGTTGTTGGAAATGTAGAATTCGCGTAGACCTTTTGCATCAGGTGCATATCGTTTTTCATCAAGTTCATTGACTAAAAATCAATATAGGAGTTACAATTTACAAAGAAATAATAAGTTTTATATCAATTTCTATCTATAAGGAGAATGTAGTTCTTTCTTTGTTATAGGAGTTACAAAAAAACTATATAGAGTTACAAATAATGCCATAAGTGCATATATTAATCTCTATGTATTGTCACATTTCTCTTCTTTTTTTTATTATCATTACTAATTTCATTGAGAGTATTAATATAAATAATTAAAATGGAAAGTAAGAAAAATTGTAAACATAAAACAAAAATAAATTAATGGAAATCTATTTCCTAACAACATGGATTATATGAGAGTTACAAAATATGTGAGAATGCCTTGCTATAATGAAGATAAAATATTTGACATTTATTGCTTTTTATAGAATATCAAAACAAAAATAGTATGTGAAAAAAAAAACATTAAAATCTCAAATCTTAATTGGAGAATATGTTGCCCAATAAGGGAAAGCGTAAATAAAATCTGAAAATTTGTTGTCTCTCAAACTCTTTTTTAACTTTCATCATTTAGAAGAAAGGAAGCAACAACAAGAAGAATCTGATCCTCCTCTTCACAGCTAACCACCGAACAAAACTTTATACTCTTTATCACTTTGATCTCCACCATTGATCCAATTCAACCAATGGTAAATTTTTCTTTATCTATGGTTTTATTTTTTTTACATTTTGGTAAATTGATCTCTAAAATGTTTTTTAAAAAAGTCATCTTCTTCTACTCTAACCTCACGGATTAATCGTTCATGTCGCTACTCAGTTGCTCACCAGATATCAATGACTTGCGGAGATATCTCTTTAAACCCCCAGAAAAATGTGGATCTAATTCTCTTCAAAAATTTTAACATTTCTCTGCAAAAGAACTGATTTTTGAAAATTTTACAGCAGAAGATTAAAATGGTTTTGATTAAAGAAGAGTGAAGAAAGAGTCAAAACAGAGTAAAGAAATGGAGAAACAGAGGAGGAGAGAAGAAAGCAGCATTCAACAACCTCCTCCTCCATGGATGATTCCTTTGACACCTATGAAGCCAATTTATCCGATCAGACCATACACCATGGATCCGATCTACCCATATACAGTGGAGGAACAATCTCATCGGAATCAAGTGGAGGAAAGGTTATTGCTTTTCTGTTCTAAAGTTGAGAAATTTTTCAATTTGGGTTAATTGTTGGTTTTTAAGCAAGTGACGATGATAATGTATGCAGAGGATTCGACATGGGTGGTCTTGATCACTTGTCTTTCAGTGATTTGCTAGCTCTATCCAACACTAGACCTGTCTGTTTCTCCGGTCAGACCTCTTGGGCTAGTAGTAGTAATGCTTCCGGTCTGATGATCAGAGATGAAATTTATCCCATCTGCCCAAACACGGTGGAGGATCAAGCTCATTGGAATCAAGTGGAAGAAAGGTACGTCCTTCTGTCTTAAAGTTGAGAAATTTTTGAAGGTTTCGTGTTTGGGTAGTTGCTTAAGCAAGTGATACTTGCAGGAGATTCGATATGAATCAGTTGTCTTTTGGTGATTTTCTGGCTCTATCCAACAATGCATCAGTCTATTGCTCCGGTCAAACCACTCCTTGGGATGGTAATGCCTTAGAACCCACAAGTGAGAGGGCTTTTGATTCCGGTCTGATCAGAGATGAAATTGAGATGGTGCAAAAAGGTAATGAAGCAGTGGATAATCTGAGCTCCGTGTGTAACAATGTTGCATCAGTCTATTGCTCCGGCCAGACCCCTTGGGCCTCAGAACCTACAAGTAAGAGGGGGTTTTGATTCTGGTCTGATTAGAAATGAAATTGCTTTGTCAAATTTTAATCTAAGCTGGACTGAGGAAAATCTGATTCTCAATGTAGGAAACACAGAGTTGATGCAAAAAGGTAATGAAGCAGTGGAGATTCTGAGCTCAGTGAGTAACAATGTTGCTGAAGAGATCATCAAAACTCCTGAAAAACCAAAGAGGAAGAAGCATAGGCCAAAGGTTGTTAGAGAAGCTAAACCCAAGAGGGAGCCTAAACCGCCAACAACGAGGAAATCTGTTGTTGCTGGTGGTCAAGAAAGCAAAACGCCAAAGAGGAAATATGTGCGGAAGAAGGTGGAAGTCGATAAGGATCAAGAATCTACTCCGGTTGAATCATCAGCAGCTGTAGAAACATTAACTCATGCGAAGAAACTCTGTAGACGAGTCTTGGATTTCGAACCCGAAAACGGAGATAACCAGACCAACAACGACACAAAACACGGCGATGATACGGAATCAGCTCTCAGAGCGAAGCTGTTAGGTTCTGGTAATCAAGGTAAAAGAAAGTACAACCAAGGTAAAAAAAAGGGAACGGAACCAAAGAAGAATGGAGGTAATCAAGATGGAGTTGATCTTTCGATGGCACAAGTTGCAAAGAGAAGACAAGGAAAAGAACCAACTTGTGGTGACATAAATCTATCAGGGATTCAGTACGATGAGCAATGTGACTACCAGAAGATGCATTGGTTGTATTTCCAAAACTTGCAACAGGAAGGGATTAGCTCGGATCCCATTTGCAGCACATCATTCGCTGGACAACAACACAAGGATGTTTCTGCCTTTGACTCTAACTGCTACAGTTTCACATCTCAGCCCAGTGCTAATAGAGTCCTAACCATTGAAGAAAGACGAGAAGGTATCTTTCAAGGAAGGCAAGAGTCTGAGTTCAGTGTACTCTCGGATATGATAGACACGCCGATAAAGACGAGAACTACAAGCCATGTTCGATTGCGGGATTTATCTCCCATTAATAAACTTGTGGAAGTTTCTGAGCAGTTACCCTCAGGATATAATAGCAAACCAAAGCAGAAGAATAATAAGATTCTTGTTGATACGCGGGTGACCGTGAGCAAAAAGAAGAGAATCACTAAGTCTGAGAAATCACAAACCAACAAGAAAACTCTTCTTCCAAATCCTTGCCAGTTTCCAGCTTCATTTTCCGGTAATGAATACATATCTTTGTTTTCTTGAATCTATTGAATGCAGACTATTTGTTGACAGTGATGATGTTTAATTTCTGCAGGTCTTTCTCAAGATGAACTTTGGAAACAACCTAACTTGGTTGGTTCAATCAGTGAGCAATTGCGTCTATTAGACATCAACAGGGAGAGTTCTGAAACTGCTCTCGTTCCTTACTCAATGAAAACACAAGAAAACCAGATTGTCCTCTTCGGCGGTGGCGCTGGAGCAATTGTGCCTGTAACTCCTGTTAAAAAGCGGCGCCCACGACCAAAGGTTGACCTAGACGATGAGACAGAAAAAGTGTGGAAACTGCTATTGGAGAATATTAATAGTGAGGGTATTGACGGATCAGACGATCAAAAGGCGAAATGGTGGGAGGAAGAACGTAATGTGTTTCGAGGACGAGCAGACTCATTTATAGCACGGATGCATCTTGTACAAGGTTACACTCCACACTTGTCCTTTTGCGTGTGTTTGTTCTAATCACATGGTTTCAATTAGTATTTATCTATAACTTGTATGTCTCAGTCATAACTATGTTATGGTCTTCGGTTTTCTAACAGGGGATCGACGTTTTACGCCTTGGAAGGGATCCGTTGTGGATTCTGTTGTTGGAGTATTTCTCACTCAAAATGTTTCAGACCATCTTTCGAGGTATAAGCTCTTACATAATTCTACTTCGAAACCAAATCCAACACAGCAACAAGTCACAAAACTAACTTGCTTTGTTTTTTTTGTCCTTGTAGTTCAGCTTTCATGTCACTGGTTTCCGAGTTCCCGGTCACTTCAGTGCCCAGCAGTAAATTTGAAGCTGGAACAAGCTCGATGCCTTCTATTCAAATAACTTACTTGGACTCAGAGGAGTCGATGTCAAGCCCACCCAATCACAATCAGAGTTCTGTTATTTTAGAAAACACACAGCTTGATGAGGAGAAGGATTATGTACATACCAGTGAAACCTCCAGAAGTAGTAGTGAGATTTCCAGCTCAGCCCATCAATCAGTTGACAAAACCACGGATTCAAAGACGTTCGTGGAATCAGATCGAAAAGGTTTAAGTGTAGAGGTTGATAAGACAGGTCAGGACTGTTTTGTCCTAAACCTGTTTCCATCTGAAGATTCTGCACTTACATGTCAACATTCGATGGTTTCTGATGCTCCTCAAAATACAGAGAGAGCAGGATCAATCTCAGAGATCAACTTAGAAGGAGAGTATCTTACTTCCTATATGAAGCTCCTACAAGGGGTACTAGAAGATTCCAATCAAAAGAATCAGTATGAAGTTGGGGTTTTAAGCAATCCTGGAAGCTTACAAGTATCACCAAATATGTCTCCCGGTGATTGTAGCTCAGAAATTACTGATTTCCATTCATTGAAAAGGCCCACAAAATCTTCTGATGATAGTTATGAACCTTATTGTTGCTATCAGCAAGATGGTGATGTTTTGAGTTGTCAGAAACCTGAGATGCCTGAAAGCTCTAGCAGCGTTCGTTCGAAAAAACACAAAGGCAGCTTCCAGATTCCAGATCTTAATGAAAGCACGAGTTGTCTTGATGTCATAGAAGGCACAGAAAATCCACCAGATCCTTACTCAAGGCAGCTTCGAGACTCATCGTATAAAGAGCTCAATCCGACAGATGCTGCTACCTTAAATGCAAAAGGAAAAAAGGTTTTAAAGGAGAAAAAAGAGGCGTTTGATTGGGATAGTTTAAGAAGAGAAGCACAAGGTAGAGAAGGAAAAAGAGAAAAAACTACAAGGACAATGGACTCTGTGGACTGGGAGGCAATAAGAACAGCGGATGTTAGTGAAGTTGCCGAAACAATCAAGAAACGTGGGATGAACCATATGCTTGCGGAACGTATACAGGTTCAATTTTATCTTCAACTGTGGCCAAATTTCTTGATACCTTTCATTTTAAGTTGTTGACCGTGAACATGAAAATAATGCAGGGCTTCCTTAATCGACTGGTCAACGAACACGGTAGTATCGATCTTGAATGGTTGAGAGACATTCCACCCGATAAAGCAAAGTGAGTTTGAAAGAAAAGTATTTTATTTTCTTCTTCATTCACCACGATATAGAAAAGTTACTACTTAGACAGTTAAGTGTCAATGATTTAGTACTGCATTGTGTATTTCTCATATACTATACAATCATGCAGAGAAGTTACTACTTAGACAGTTAAGCGTCAATGATTTAGTACTGCATTGTGTATTTCTCATATACTATACAATCATGCAGAGAATATCTTCTGAGTTTTAGAGGATTGGGCCTAAAAAGTGTGGAGTGCGTGCGGCTTCTAACACTGCACCATCTTGCGTTTCCAGTAAGCCAGGATCATTCTTTATTTTCTGTCCCTGTGAAGTGAATTATATGATGTATGAACCTAAGGTAAAACTTACTGTCAGGTTGATACGAATGTTGCTCGAATAGCCGTTAGACTAGGATGGGTACCCCTTCAGCCACTGCCAGAGTCACTTCAGCTGCATCTTCTAGAAATGTAAGCACTCTACAAATGGTACTACTTGGAAATTGTAATTTATTACTTATACACTTGGGGTTTGGTATATCCAGGTATCCTATTCTTGAATCTATTCAAAAGTATCTTTGGCCACGTCTCTGCAAACTCGACCAAAAAACATTGTAAGACCTCTCATCATGTTTAGCACTATCTTCTTATTTTTTCATACCTGATTCTATTAGACCCATTCATTAGATTAATGCCCTATTATCAATTATCTCACACAGGTATGAATTACACTACCAGATGATTACCTTTGGAAAGGTATGTATAAAACAATATACACATATCCATGTATGAAAAAATCAGTAGCTCACATGATTATTGTTTCAGGTGTTTTGCACAAAGAGCAAACCTAATTGCAATGCATGTCCGATGAGAGGAGAATGCAGACATTTTGCCAGTGCGTTTGCAAGGTGCTACAACATGTTCTCTTAAACCTTTAGTACCACTATGAGGAAACTCATTGTAAAATATAACCCAGTAAATGCGATTGCTCTGTATCTGAACGTAGCTCTGAATAATTACAGAAAATTTAGTAACCTTCATTTGTTTTACAGTGCAAGGCTTGCTTTACCCAGTACAGAGAAAGGTATGGGGACACCTGATAAAAACCCTTTGCCTCTGCATCTCCCAGAACCATTGTATAGAGAGCAAGGGTCTGAAGTAGTACAGCACTCAGAACCAGCAAAAAAAGTCACATGTTGTGAACCAATCATTGAAGAGCCAGCATCACCGGAGCCAGAAAGCGCACAAGTATCAATAGCTGATATAGAGGATGCCTTTTTTGAGGATCCGGAAGAAATTCCTACAATCAGGCTAAACACAGATGCATTTACCAGTAACTTAAAGAAAATAATAGAACAGAATCAGGAACTACAAGACGGAAACATGTCCACTGCTTTAGTTGCACTTACTGCTGAAGCTGCTTATCTTCCAATGCCGAAGCTCAAGAATATCAGTCAGTTAAGGACAGAACACCAAGTGTACGTATCCATTTTTCTCTGTTATTCATCGTGTCTTAGGTTGAAATTAAATCCAAAACACATTCTTCAAAATATTAAAGCTTGAATAGAGTAGAATAATTAAGTGATAGACCAAGCATTTACACGTAAGTTGGAAAGCAGACAAACTTCCTAATACTTACAGGTTAAAGAAACTTTTGCATTTTGTTCAGCTTGCCTCATTGAAAACTTGATTTCTGTCTTTCTATTTATTTTGCATATCTTGCAGTTACGAACTTCCAGACGAGCATCCTCTTCTAGTTCAGGTATGTGAAGTAACTGGATGCGGACACATGCCGTATAGTGCTGTCAATATTGTAAAATCTGATTAGCCGTTTGTGTTTGTTGTGGCAGTTGGAGAAGAGAGAACCTGATGATCCATGTTCTTACTTGCTTGCTATTTGGACGCCAGGTGATCTAGAAATTATTTAATGATCTGCCAATCTTTTAATCATGAAATCAGATCGATTGAAAAGTTTCTTTAACCACTACGGTTTTAACAGGTGAAACGGCTGATTCCATTCAACCAACTGTGAGCAAGTGTATATCCCAAGAAAATGGTCAGATTTGTGATGAGGAGACTTGTTTCTCATGCAACAGCATCAAGGAAGCGAGATCTCAGACTGTGAGAGGGACAATCTTGGTAAGTTATTGCCTCAAACTCCTTTGCTGCGGTATACGCTTGGGGAATCTTGGTATGTTTATACAAAATAATATGTTGTAAATTCTTGCAGATACCTTGTAGAACCGCAATGAGGGGTAGTTTCCCACTCAACGGAACGTATTTCCAAGTAAACGAGGTCACTCTTCAAGTCCAATATATCCATATCTTTCAATTAGTTATTTGCATTGAAATCTCTGATGTAATTTATTAATATAGGTGTTTGTGGATCATGCGTCTAGCCTAAACCCAATCGATGTTCCAAGGGAATGGTTATGGGACTTAACAAGGAGAACTGTTTACTTTGGAACTTCTATACCTACAATATTCAAAGGTATAGGATCTTCATTAATGGATTGTGATGCTATTGTTCATATAAAAGAAAGGTAATTAACCACTAGAGCTATTTTTATTCAGGTTTATCGACAGAGACAATTCAGCAATGCTTTTGGAGAGGTATTGTCATAAGATTTTGTTTAAGCTAAAGCAATATCTTCTTATTTCTGAAACATATACTTGTCTTTTAAAATCTGTAGGATACGTATGTGTACGTGGATTTGACTGTAAGACGAGAGGACCAAAACCTTTGATAGCCAGATTGCACTTCCCGATAAGCAAAATGAAGTCACGGGCTAACCCGCCTAATCAAAGTGCTACGAAGGCAAGCAAATAAATACAGACTTATAGTTAGACTTTAGAGATAGCACACTGTACAAAACTAGCTGATGCAACGAGATCTTCAACATCATCTCAACGACATTGCACACTTATTTGATCATAAAGTTATTTGTTTTATTCAATCTTCATTGGTTTTAGTTGAATTAATAAAAGAAGAAAGTTTTATATGTTCATGTTTCTGTATCCCTTCAAGGGTTTCATGAAATACAAGAAGACAAGACGATCTGGTATCCTTCTCAGATCAACAATCCCGACATCCTCGCGGTCGCGGATCAACTACTTCTATCTATCCAAACGTCATGGCCACTGGCAACACTAGCTGATGTAAAAAGTGAAACATAGAGCTATAGTAATTGTACGTCTTTATTTGTTTCAAACAGTCGCAAGAAACACAAGACTAGTTGGTTAGCTTTTGGTTACCCAATTCAAGATTTGGTATAACCTCGGTTAGCTTGGTTTGAATCAGATGGTTTAACCAGACCGAATAATCATCAATCCTGTTTTGTTGTCTGGACTCTCGATGATGGGGCTATTTATTACACATGGAGTTTGGGCCATTAAATGGGCCTAAATATTCTTGAAACCAGCTCCGATCTTCAACTTTTTTTTGGTTTCATCTCCTTAAAATCCCCAATTCGCAACCCTAATTGATCGGAGATTGTCCAAACTCTCTGCCATTTTTGCCGAATTCGAAGCATCCCTTCTATCATCTCCGTCTTCTTCGCAGAATCGCTTTATGCATCTCAATTTGTAGATTGTAACTTAGGGTTACTGATTGCTGTAATGCTCTGAATTCCTCTCTAAAGAGGATTTGTTGTCACTGCAATCGGTTTTGCCGATTAGGTTTAATTAAAGGCATTTTTTGCGTACCTCTTGTGTTGTATAGTTCTTTGAAATGGAGAATTCTCGTAGACCGTTTGATAGATCCAGAGATCCAGGTCCGATGAAGAAACCCAGGCTCAGCGAGGAATCAATCCGGCCTGTGAATCCCAACGCGCGGCAGTTTTTGTCGCAGAGAACGCTTGGTACGGCTACGGCGGTGACAGTACCACCAGCGTCGTCAAGATTTCGAGTTGGTGGCAGAGAAATTGAGAGTAGTATTGCAAGTGATCCGAGCCGAGAGGCTTACCAGCCACAGCCGGTTCATCCACATTACGAGCTTGTGAATCAGTACAAGTCTGCACTGGCTGAGCTCACTTTCAACTCGAAGCCAATAATAACGAACCTTACAATAATTGCTGGAGAGAATGTTCATGCTGCTAAAGCCGTCGTAGCCACCATTTGCAACAACATCCTCGAGGTGAACACCCAGTTTTCATGCCCACTGTTATAGTTGTTGTTGTTATACTCCGTGCTCTAGTTGTTTGAGTAATTGTACAATATAAGGGAATTAAGGTAAAGGTGGTGGTAGAGATTTGTCTTATCTGTATTACGAGGTTCAATGAGAAATTCGAGTTTTTTGAAGCAACCCTAGTATCTTTTTTGGGATCTATGCGTTTTTATCTTTCTTCATCAAGTCGCAAATCATTTCTTTTGAAACGAAGTTCATAGTCATTTTCTATCTTTTTTATCAAACAGGCTTCTGTTTCCTGACCCTTATGTTGTGAACTATCTCAAAAATAGTTGTTACCTATGCAACCATTTTGTTCATGTTCATTTATCAAGAATGCATATTTCAGCTCCTCATGTGATTGTACTGAGTTTTGGTTATAGGAGTGTGTAGTCTCTTTGTCAGCGTTGGAGCTGTTTGTATCTCACTTAACTATTTGGCCAGGGCTCTCAAAAGCTCTGTTTTTAGTGAGGTTGGATTTTCTGTTGGTGGCTTTTACTTATCGCATACCCTCCAGAAAGCCAAATCAACTTTTATTCATCTTTGGGTAGCAAGGAAGCATTCAATAGAAGGAGCCTGATCAATCAAGTCGGTGGGGAATCAAGAATTGTCGTTTCACTGTTTTTCACTTCAGCTAGTGTTGTCACTCTGCCATTGTTGGGCTTGTCGATCTCATTAACATCGTCTAATGGTTATCTGTGTCTATTATTGGATACCTAGTTGTAGAGTGTTTGTAGGTGTATACTTGAATGTCATCGTGGTCTGTGCTTTTGATTCTAGTTTTAAGTTATTGATTTTTTTCATTACCTTTAGAGGCTCATGTGTGGAAATACTCGATGTTACTCCCTATGAGATCAAATTGGCCGTTTTTTCTTCTGGGTATCTGATTTGAAGAATATCATGCAGGTACCAAGTGATCAGAAGCTGCCAACACTGTACCTGTTAGACAGCATTGTGAAGAACATCGGAAGGGATTACATCAAGTACTTTGGTGCCAGGCTGCCTGAGGTTTGGTGCTTTGTTGATAGTCATGGTTATTGAATGTCTTTTTCCTAGCAAATTCATCTCTGATCTCCCTCTTTATACTTCTGTGAAGGTTTTTGTTAAGGCTTACAGGCAAGTTGACCCTCCTATGCATTCTAACATGCGGCATCTTTTTGGAACCTGGAAAGGAGTCTTTCATCCGCAAACACTTCAGCTTATTGAGAAAGAACTTGGCTTTAATGCTAAAAGTGATGGTTCAGCAGCTGTTGTATCCACAGCCAGAGCTGAGCCGCAATCTCAGCGCCCACCACATAGCATCCATGTGAATCCCAAGTATCTAGAAAGGCAGCGCCTTCAGCAGTCGGGACGGGTAAGCAAACCAAAGTAAACTTGCAGCCACTGAAAGTTATTAGTGATGATACACCCTAACCTTCAGGACTACTAGAGATTTCACTGTTCTAAGTGTTCATAAATGTAACTTTCAGGACTACTAGAGCTTTCTCTGTTCTAAGTGTTCATAAATATAGGGTACTTATGTTTTTTGGTTTTTAGATAGCAGTGTAACTATTTATGCCCGCAATCAATTTCTTTCAAAGGGTCCTGAGGTCTCTGGATATAAGTAGAGGCTATGTACCTACTTTATTAAAAGTGCCCTGAGTATTTTCGGTTTTCTTTGCAGACAAAAGGAATGGTTACTGATACACCAGAGATCGCACCCAATTTGACTAGGGATTCAGATAGACTGGAGAGAGTTTCAAGCATAGCATCTGGAGGCTCGTGGGTAGGTCCACCTAAAGTAAATGTAAGATGTTTTTTCCTTGGCACGGTTACAGTTTTTTACCTAAGTGCTGTCTACTGATTGTTTGTGGAATTCAGACCATTCGGCGACCTCAAAGAGATTTACTTAGTGAACCCCTCTACGAGAAAGATATCGAGTCAATAGCAGGGGAATATGATTATGCTTCTGATCTACCCCATAACTCTAGATCGGTGATTAAGAAAGTTGGTTCAACGATGATTACTGATGACGGATGTGAGAAACAATGGTATGGAGCTGTGAGCAGGGGTCCTGATCTGATTTCTGACCAAAGGGATGGGTTACATACCAAAAGCAGAACTTCCAACTATGCTACGGCGAGACTAGCAAATTTGGAATCAAGTGGTCCCAGTAGAAATATAGGTGTGCCTTGTGATAGTTGGAAAAACTCTGAGGAAGAAGAGTTTATGTGGGATATGCACTCAAGGTTATCCGAAACTGATGTAGCCACTATCAACCCAAAGAACGAGCTTCATTCACCAGATGAATCAGAGAGACTGGTAAGCTATGATAGTAATTTGCATTCCTTTTTGTTGTGATGTATCTCATTTTAATTTGTTAGCTTTTAACCGTCTCCCATCTTGTAGGAATCTGAAAACCACCTCTTAAAACGACCAAGGTTTTCAGCTCTCGACCCAAGGTTTGACCCAGCGAATTCAACAAATTCATATTCCAGCGAGCAACAAGATCCAAGTATTTTTGGTCACTGGACGTCTTCTCCAAGATCTTTGCATGATTCAGAAGTTTTTTCTTCTATTAATTCAACCTCTACTGCAGCTAGAAAGGGAATTCAGCCTCAACCTAGGGTTGCCAGCTCTGGAATTTTGCCAAGCTCAGGATCTGGGTCAGATAGACAGTCCCCTTTACATGATTCAACTTCTAAACAGAATGTGACCAAGCAAGATGTTAGAAGAGCTCACTCCCTCCCTCAACGTGATCCTAGGGCTTCCCGGTTTCCGGCAAAAAATGTTCCCAGGGATGACTCTGTACGGATCCCATCTTCAAGTAGTCAGTTTAAAAACACAAATATGCGTGAACTACCTGATGCATCTCAAGTGGAAATCTTTGACTCTAAGTTAGCAGCTGAAAATGCTCCAGGCCTAACTATTGCTTCAGAAGCTACAGGACAACCCAACATGAGTGATTTGCTGGAAGCTGTCATGAAGAGTGGAATCCTTTCTAATAATTCAACATGTGGTGCGATCAAGGAGGAGATTTCTCAGGATGAGGTTAATCCAGGGGCACTAACCCTATCAGCGGCCTCTAAGCCTAAGACTTTGCCATCAGCATTGCCAATTTCAGTGGCTGGTGACAATTTATTAGCTCGTTTAAAAGTTGAACAATCCTCCGCACCACTTGTCTCATGTGCAGCGTCTCTTACTGGCATCACATCAGTACAAACGTCAAAAGAGAATAGTAAGGCCTCCGATCCTCTTTCATGCCTCTTGAGCTCCTTAGTTTCAAAGGGCTTGATATCTGCTTCAAAGACAGAGCAGCCATCGGCTCCTTCCATAACGCAGGAACATAGTCCTGATCATTCCACCAATAGCTCTATGTCTGTATCTGTGGTTCCATCAGATGCTCAACCATCTGTTCTGGTGAAGAAGGGGCCATCCACTGCCCCTAAGGTAAAAGGATTAGCTGCACCATCTGAGACATCAAAATCTGAACCTGAGGACCTCATAGGATTGAAGTTTAGGGCAGACAAAATCCGTGAACTTCACCCCTCAGTCATTAGTAGTCTCTTTGATGACCTTCCACATCTCTGCACCTCCTGCGGCGTTCGCCTTAAACAAAAGGAAGAACTTGATAGGCACATGGAGTTGCATGATAAGAATAAGGTCGAGTTAAGTGGCAAAAATAGTAAATGTAGGGTTTGGTTTCCAAAGGTTGAAAACTGGATTGCAGCAAAAGCTGGAGAGTTAGAACCTGAAGATGAGGAAGTTCTGAGTGAATCTGAGAGTGCTCTTGAGGATGGTCCAGCCGTAGCTGCTGATGAGACCCAATGCGCATGTATATTATGTGGAGAAGTTTTTGAGGATTATTTCAGTCAAGAAATGGCTCAATGGATGTTCAAGGGAGCTTCTTACCTGACCAATCCTCCAGCCAACAGCGAGGCCAGTGGTCCTATCGTCCATGCAGGTTGTCTGACCACAAGTTCATTGCTGAGCTTGGAAGGTGGGAATGCAATCAAGCAGGTAACTTGTAGCTCTAGTCATTTGCGTCCTTTGGTCATTTTAGGGCTCTCTGATCTCAAACTTTGTTCTTTCATCCTGCATGAATCCACCTTTACGTATTTGTTTCTTGTTTGGTTCCATTCTGCTAGGAAATTATTGAGTAGCCTCCATATGAAGACCTATGGTGGAGGAATCAGTGGCATCACAGAGGAAACAGGTTTGTGATTCCTCTGAGTTCCTCATGATGCTAGTTTTGTAGAAAAGTGTCGAGCTTTGAGTTTGAGGAAAAAAGATGTGCAGTATTTTTAATTTTATTTTTTCTTATTTGTCTCTTCCCTTTTTCATCATATACAAATACAAAAAGAGCAAAGAGGCCTTCCCAATATTGCACATTTCCATATTCTATGCCTTTCTTTCGTGTGTCACAAAAGAATATATGCGGGTCTCTTATGAAAACACATAGATTTGTCAGGGTAACGTATCCTGAACATCCAAAGCAAAGCCATGAGACCATATATGTAACTTAGCAATTACTATTTCTGTTTGAAAGATTTGTGTTGTCATTTGAGAGTAGTTGTGGTTATCATGTGAATCCTCATAGATTGGGAGTTGCTTGCAGATTGGGGAAAGAGCAAAATTAACATTTATTGGAGAGAGAAATGCAAAAGGTGTGAGATTTAATTAGAAGAGAGTCTTGTAATGAATGTGTAGGTGGGGAGAGGGCTAGAAAAGCAGAGGACCTTTCTCTGTTTCTTCGCTGTTCCTTGCTTTCAGGAAAACTCAATTTTCACGTGAATAAGAAGAGCTCATCAAAAATTAATGTGGTCTCAGAATAAGCTTTGGCTTTGCCATCTTTATTTAATAAGTTAAGGGTTTGATTTTCCGTAGATGCAACTAGTCATTACTTTCAAATGCAAACTTTTGAGAACGTCAATGTGGTTACATAGTTTGTTACCAGTGGAAATGGTCAAATATTTGGCCAAATAAGGATATCATCCGAAAATGGTATTTACATAGTATGACTTATAGCAGATTCGGTAACCTTCTTTTCTCGAATAAAATTCTATTTAAGAGTTTTGATATACAATTCTAAACCGTTGCACATTAACAGCTATTTATGTAATTTTTTAAGTGACCTAATTAATGAAAGTATTATTAATGCAAGCAAGTAAAAGGTTTAAGTCTGAACGAGACAAGTCTTCCGTTGTGTTTTAACGCAAGAGCCACATCGACCCTGTTTTTGATTAACTATAAATTGTGGAAAAAGAGATTTAATTATTATTACTGTTGATGTTGTTGTAGGTAAGATGATTGACTTGTAAGCTTTAATGAGCTTATCCAATTTCGTGTGTTTTAAAAAATAGAATCGATTCGTTTTCATGCGTCTTTGATGACTCACGATTTCCATTTCTCAAATTTTATAACGCACTGAGAAATCCGAGTTCAAGATGTGTGATTTGTTCCTTATTGTTTTACATTTATCATGTTTCGTTTCTTGTCTTCTTTATTTTCTCCCCGAGAAAAAATACGTCTAAATGGACTCTTTTTTTTCTTTTCATCTTCTATTAGTCTTAGTTTCTCTTTATGTTTAAAACCCTACAAATTTTACGTGAATATCAAATATGTCTAGAGTTTATCAGTTAAGGTCAAGTCTTTTCCTCTCTCGTATTCTATTTTGCACGACTGCATACTTTTTCTTACTTTCGAAGACGTCTTTGGAATACTCTCTTGTATTTTCCTTAAATTAACGAATATAAAATACCAAACACACACATCTTATTACACAACCTAAGCTGTATAAATCAGGTCAAAGAATTATTTAAGTTGCTTTGTTTGTTTGCAACAAAGATATATTTAATTTTGTTTCTATGGATTATGTTAAATTAATGATTTAATCGTAGAAGCAGCGGCAATTTTTTAAATACAGAATGGAAGAGCCTCCTATCTAATGTCCGTTCCTTGGGGTTTTATAAAGACAGTTCTTTAACGACATTAAGAGAATTTCTCAAAATGAATTGAAAAACCCATCATTTCTAGATAGTTTCAGATTAAACAAAATTGACTATTCATATTTTATCAAATAAGGCAACAATAACCAAGAATTGAATCAGTAAAACAAAAATATCAAAGGAAAAGAAGAGTTTAAAATTCATAAATGTTGATAATGCAAGGAACATGGTACAAAATATCTAATTTTCATTTCTGCCGATCTCTTGTCGCTACCTTAATTTTTGTCAATAGCTAACTTACATTTAATGATGGATTCGTTTTTAAATTATTACATTCAACTGGAGTAACAATTATATAAAAACAAATCCCTAACAGAACCAAACGAAACTCAAAAAGTCAGAAGAGAGACATCTTCACATGGCCGAATGAAACACTCAAACACACACATCCAAGACAAAGAACAATTCCTCGCCTTCTTCTCCATTTCTTCTCTGCAACAACTTCCGTACCAAAATACTTAAAAACCCTAACTAATATTATTTCTCAACCAGGTTTCTTTAACTTTTAGTTTCCCGGTAAAAAAATCTCTCTGTCATGTCTTATGTTCTTCCACGTCGTTCCTTAATCTCCTAACAGAATCTCTAAACTTCATTTGCTCCTTTTCCACACAAAACTTTATCTCTCTTTTCTAAAAACTTTGTCTCCCTCCAAAGACCAAACAAATTGTTCTTCCTTCCTTCAACTTCAAGTATCTCTCTTTATTCACACGTATAGCATCCAAAACCAAAATCTATAACACTTTTTCTCAAATTTCCCTAGAAAATCAAACCTTTCTTCTTCTCCTTCTTCTTGATTTCATTATCACATTTCCTCGGTAAAGTTTCTTCCTTTCTAACTTTCCCGGGGAAAAAAAACAACCCTTTCTGTTAGAAAACCATGAGAGGTCTCGCGGCTTGTTACAGTGAACACGCCATTAAAGTATCAGATGCATATTGTTCAGGCCCATCAAATCATTCCTATATATCTCCGACATTACCTCCTTCAATTCCCGACACAGTAACCACCACTTATAAAACCAATCTCCCTTCTTCCGACAAACCCGTCTCTGTTTCACTCACATGGTCGGATAATCTCACCGTCGTCATCTCAACGCCGCCAAAATCATACTCTGTTTCTCTCAGGAAAGCAAAAGGATCAAGAAAGTTGACTTCTTCCTCCGGTTCACTCAACGCTGAGATCCTTTGGGATATATCGGAAGCAGAGTACGAAAACAACGTACCTGAACCAACAAGAAGATTCTTCGTCGTCGTCGTGGTGAATTCCGAGATTACCCTCAGAATCGGAGACGTTGACCGCGAGCGAGACACGTCATCATCGTCGTGGCGAGTCTCAAAAACAGAGAGATTCTCAGGAACTTGTTGGCTCACGACGAAAGCTCAATTCTCCGACGTTGGAACTAAACACGAGATTCAGATTCAATGCGACGGCGGCGGAGGAGGAGGAGAAGAAGGGTATTTATGGAAATTGAAAAGTCCTGAAACGATGTCGGTTTATGTGGATAAGAGGAGAGTGTTTTCGGTGAAGAAGCTTAAGTGGAATTTTAGAGGGAATCAAACGATGTTCTTTGATGGAATGCTTATAGACATGATGTGGGATTTACACGACTGGTTTTATAAAGAAACTGCGTCGTCTGTTTCGACTACTTCATCGTCTAAAACGGCGTCGTCGTCATCGTCTTCTTCTACTTCATCGTCTTCTCCTCCGTGTGCTGTGTTTATGTTTCGTAGGAGGAGTGGTTTGGATAGTAGATTATGGATTGATGAAGATGAAGAAGAGAGTAAGATGAAGAAGAAGATTGGTTCTAGAGATGAGAAACATTCGTTTTCTCTTATCATTTGTGCCTCTAAAAAGTGAGAAAATAAAAACAAAAAAAACATTTTAACATAACTCTATTTTAGATTTTTTTAAGTTTTTGTGTTGCAATGCATTTAGATTAATGTGATAGATTGATCATCATTTGTAATATGATAAATCAAAATCCCCTAACTAATATTATGGAAGTACCTAAATAAAATTAACATTATCTCTTATAAGAAATTACATCAAATTATCATTACAATTCAAAGAACAAATTAATAATAATCATCAAAAATAAAAATGTCAAATAGAAAAACGAAAATGCTTTCATAATTTTCAAAATCTTTAAAATCAATCAAATTGAATAAATAAGATTTAACATGATCGGACATGTTTATGCAGGATAATGGTAAAGCTGTTTCGTATGATAATATTACTTTCACGTAGGCCTGGGCGTTCGGATATTCGGGTCGGGTTCGGGTCGGGTTTTTCGGGTTCGGGTTTTTCGGGTTTAGAAAACTAAGACCCGTTCGGGTATTTTAAAACTTCGGGTTCGGATCGGGTTCGGATCGGATATTTCGGGTTCGGATTCGGGTTTACCCGAAGTAACCAAATATTTAAAAAATTGTATCCGATTCTATGAAAAGTGTTGAAAATACTCATAAAATCTATAAATTTGAAGTATTTTATACCCTAATCTAACCAAAAGTAGCTAAAACACCCGAAAATATCTTAACATCCGAGTAATTTAGACACTTAGACTATTACAAATATAAATATTACTAATATATAATAGCTATATATTTATATTTCGGATATGTTCGGGTACTTGTTCGGGTTCGAGTTCGGGTCGGGTTCGGGTTCGGGTTTTCGGTTGTGAGGTTTAGAACCCGTTCGGGTATTTTAAAACTTCGGGTTCGGGTTCGGATCGGGTTTTTCAGGTCGGGTTCGGTTCGGTTCTTCGGGTTCGGGTATTATGCCCAGGCCTACTTTCACGTATGAAGGGCTCATGTGTATGGCACGAAAAAGGCTTTGGTGGGTCGATACATGACTAGTTTGGGCATTAGGCAATCTCAATCCTCTGAAGGTCGATCAGTTAAGAGGTTCTCTCTACCTCTTATTTGCATGTTTGTGAAACAGTGTTTGACTTTTCTAGTTTGATTACTTTAGCACCCTCGTACTCATAACATTCTTTTACTTTCACACGATTCTGGTTACGGAGATCCAATAGACTTGTTCACAAAAGCTGGCCATCGAGTGATACTGTTTGACTTTTCTAGTTTGATTACTTTAGCACCGTCAGATTACAATATGATGTGTGGCCTTAAACTCTCTCTCTCTCTCAATGGTCTGAGTAAAGATGTTTTCTGTCTCTTAACTCTAGTTTGCTGGTTCAACGTGTAACTCTAAATTTGTTCAAAATATGTTCATCATAACTATAAACCATGGATAGCAAATTATGCACAAGTTTTTTTTTTTTTTGGTAGGAACAAATTATGCATAAGATGAATGTATATAAATAAATGTACCTAATTTAAAAGCGTAATAATATTTTCTAAAATTATTAATTTTTGTTTATGACAACGATGGTAGTAACATTTTCGATATGTCTAAAAACAAAAATGGAAAAGACATTAGAACAAAAACTGAAAACTTAAACAAACAAAACAAAAAGTGCAACTAGGAGATCAAATTAAAAGGACATAGAAAATAAATAAGAAAGAATTCATGAATAAAAACACTAGAAGTTGAAATTCTGAAAAGAATTGATACAATGAATTTGATGATTCATTGTCCGAATTTAGTCTCACATAAATATCAAATCTAATTTTTTGGTTCCAAGATCTCAAAGCCAAACTCTTGTGTGTATACAAAAAAGTCTTCACTACTTTCAAGAAACTTCTCATTTTGTAAACACAACTTTTAAAACAAAAACTGAATTTACTGATCAAATATTATTGGGCTACAATGGGCCGTAGTGAGGCCGAAGTCACACCTTAAATAGAACGTCATAGAAGTTACAAAGAGTTAAAAAACAGTAACTAAGGAAGAGGTAAAAACAGCCCATAGAAAAACAATCCAACGGCTGAAAAAGCTTAACTTGGAGAAGGGCCAAAATATCTTCTGGAAGCTACCATCACTCCCCTCCTATATAACTCAAAACTCACTTTCATCATCATCATCATCATCATCATCATCATCAATTTCTCTCTTTATCCAATTTTCTTCTTCGAATCGATTCTTCAACCATGTCTTGCTTCACCTCCAAATTCGCCGGTAACACTCCATCTTTCTCTCTGTAATCCGCTTATCGATTAAATTGTGTTAAAGTCTGGATTCCTCGTTCATACGGTGCTACTTTGATGTGATTTCTTCTTTTGTACTAGAAATTTTCAGAGATCTATACATGCGAGAATTGATAGACTAGCAGAATGATTTATCTGTCTTTGATTTGGTTTGTAGGGCTTAGGGTTTAACGTTTTTGAGGTTTATTCAAAGGCTTTGGACTTGATAATCATTAACTTGTTCCGTGTTGTTTAAGTGATCTGAATATGCGAGTCTAATTTTTCGGTTTTGCTCTTGTAGATGAGCTGATTGCTAACGCTGCCTACATCGGCACACCTGGGAAAGGTATCCTTGCGGCAGATGAATCAACTGGTACTATTGGAAAACGTCTTGCTAGCATCAACGTCGAGAACGTTGAATCGAATAGACGTGCTCTTCGTGAGCTTCTCTTCACTACTCCTGGAGCTCTTCCTTGTCTCAGTGGTGTTATCCTCTTTGAAGAGACTCTCTACCAGAAGAGCTCTAATGGTAATTAACATAACTATATTTCTGAATCTGTGAGTCTCTTATTGTGTATCATCGTTGCTTAATTGGGGTTGATTTGATTGTGATGCAGGTACGCCTTTTGTGGATATGTTGAAGAGTGCAGGAGTCTTGCCTGGTATTAAGGTTGATAAGGGTACTGTTGAGCTTGCTGGAACCAATGGTGAGACGACTACTCAAGGTCTTGATGGTCTTGGTGACCGTTGCAAGAAGTACTACGAGGCTGGTGCTCGTTTCGCTAAGTGGCGTGCGGTTCTTAAGATTGGTCAGAATGAGCCCTCTGAGTTGGCTATCCATGAGAACGCTTATGGATTGGCTAGGTACGCTGTCATTTGTCAGGAGAATGGTCTTGTGCCGATTGTGGAGCCTGAGATTCTTGTTGATGGTTCTCATGACATTCACAAGTGTGCGGCGGTGACAGAGCGTGTTCTTGCAGCTTGCTACAAGGCCCTGAGTGATCACCATGTCTTGCTAGAAGGAACACTCTTGAAACCAAACATGGTTACTCCAGGATCAGAGAGTGCCAAGGTTGCTCCAGAGGTGATTGCAGAGCACACTGTCCGTGCTCTTCAGAGGACTGTGCCAGCTGCTGTTCCAGCCATAGTGTTCTTGTCTGGTGGACAGAGCGAGGAAGAGGCGACAAGAAACCTTAACGCAATGAACCAGTTGAAGACAAAGAAGCCTTGGTCTCTGTCTTTTTCGTTTGGAAGGGCGTTGCAACAGAGCACTTTGAAGACTTGGGGAGGAAAAGAGGAGAATGTGAAGAAGGCTCAAGAAGCGTTCTTGGTTAGATGCAAGGCTAACTCTGAGGCCACACTTGGTATCTACAAAGGTGATTCTAAGCTCGGTGAAGGTGCAGCAGAGAGCCTCCACGTTAAGGATTACAAGTACTGATAAAAGAGGCTATGGATCGTAGTTTTTATATCATCGTTTGCGTTCTTGCTTTCACTTTCTCTGTTTTTGTTTGGTGGTTTGCTTAGTAGAGTGCTACAAAAGAACCCCGTTTAAGCTTTTTTTAGGAGACGTATGTGTTCCTAAGAAACCTTTTTAAGAATGAATATTAAGCTTGTTCGGTTCAAATTCACAGTGTCCACCAAACTCAAGAAAATAGAAAAGATCAACGAAATGTTAGGAGCTCTCAAATCTGGAATCAAAGATGACATAACATCTCTGTTACAAGTAGATGATATGTCAAGGCCTGCTACTACAGTCTACAGGCCACCCGCCATGCTTGCACTTTTAACATCCATAATTTTTAGCATTGCAAAATTTTTAACTTTCAAGTCAAATTCAATCATATTTTTGTTAAAATACTTGTTTTATTAATCTCTTTGAATACAAATACATCCAAAAAATTATATATATTGATTTAGAAAAAATATCCGAATTAAAACCAATTGCATATTAAAAATAAAACAGTTATTTATAACATGTTAAGGTATTCAAATTCTTTTTATCTTTTGTATCAGTGATCTGAAGATGGTGAGCTACTTGCAAACTTATAGTAGATTGGAATACTTTGATATTGCCACTATTTTTAATCTTTTATGTTCAAGGATTTACTAACTGCTTTCGTAGTATAGTTAACATTCCACATTAAGAATTAATTTATAGCATAAGAATTAAAATCAGAAGCAAAACTCTACTAGACAAGTTGATTATATATATACAAATAGCTTTTGTTAGAAAAACGTTACGCTAGCTTACCATTTTTTTTTTTTTAACAAATAGAATCATTCCTCCATGTAGTCAATAAAATAATTAGTACTTTGATTTTTCGATAGTACTTCTTTTTTTTTTTTTTTTTTTTTTTTTTTTTGTGCACCTTTCGATAGTACTTCTAACAGCAAAAATATCAGAGAATTCAGAGACTTCGAGGACATATAGACACCAAACTTTTCACTTGGAATTTGGGAAACTATAATGAAACATATAATCCCAATTCTAAATAAAACAACGATATTTTGTTAACCAAATTAATTGATCGTAGAACATTTGGTTTAGAATTTGAAAAAGAAACTATACTGATATGCATACAAAGATAACTCAATCAATGGTTGAGTAACCAACTATTTACTACACTGTGGATTAGTATAGATTCAAATGGTATTTGTAGACAATATCAATTAGCATATGAATTTAGTACTTGTTCTGAAAAATTTTAATCTGTTAATCAAGTTTTAATTTACAATGTTAATGCATAATTTTCACATAGATATTCGACAGCCTTGTAGATCAAGTGCCAACCCGCACACACCATAAAGTGTGTAGGTGATAGAGAAATTTTGTTTTAATTAGGTGAATTTTTAATCATATATACACACTAGATCATATGGTGGGAACAAAGATTCCACGGTATATCGAGACGTGAAATGGATTTCTTACCCTAATCGATTTGACAAGTTTGAATGAGAATAATCTAGAAAATCTATTAATGTCTAGTGGGGATGATAAAGCCTCAAAGAAATTGACCCAAACGAAACAGCAATCACACACTAAGTTCTCTTGATTAGCATTTCTAAGACACTTTTGGTTGTGAATTGTGATTATATATTTTATAAATATCCGATCCTCATTAAGTCAACTCTATATTCATTTCTATTCTGAGATAACCATTAACCCCAAAGTAAGCAATATATGTAGGAAATACATATTATGACATGGGAGAAGTTGTAATTATACCCATGGACATGGAGTGTATATATAGCAACACTGAAATATAGCAAATCACACAAATTATACCAAAAATATTGTAAATCGCACAAATGAAGTATAGCTAATTTTTCTTTCAAAGTTTTTTCAATAAAGTGATGTCAAGATCATGAGTAAACATGTATTTTCATGAACCTGTGATGGCGAAAACGACCACTTTAGATAGAAACATATATACATCATTTGCGACTTAATTGGCCACCACCCAAAAAAACGCGATATCCAACAAGAGGAGCAATTAAAAAGCTGTCTTTACAGCTTTAACTTCATCATCTCCAAGCTGTGATCAATCCCTCCTAAACCCTATTCTCTTCATCCATAACTGGTTTGCACTTTCTTCACTCTCTTCTCTTCACTCTTCACTACTTAGCTTCACTCTCCAACTAACTTAACTGCCCCATAAAATGGCTTCGATCTCTTCCTCAAACTCATCACTCTTCTCTCCTCAAAACCCTAATTCTCACTAACAATATGCTAGGAACCTCCAAAGACAATGGCGGCCGTCACCCTTTGTACAAGGGAGTGAGACAACGAAAGAACTCAAACAAATGGGTTTCTGAGATCCGTGAGCCGAGAAAACCTAACCGTATCTGGTTGGGAACATTCTCTACCCCCGAGATGGCGGCAATAGCCTATGACGTGGCAGCTCTAGCCCTTAAAGGCAGTCAAGCTGAGCTAAACTTCCCAAACTCAGTTTCCTCTTTGCCTGCTCCAACCTCCATGTCTCCAGGAGACATCCAAGCAGCAGCCGCTTCAGCCGCTGCTGCTTTTGGTGCTGCTAGGGATGCGATTGTTATGGCAAATAATAACAGTGAAACAAGCGGTGTGGCTTGCATGAATGGTAGTTATGATGATACAAATATGAATGGATTCATGGACGAGGATTTGGTATTCGACATGCCTAATGTGCTCATGAATATGGCTGAAGGAATGCTTCTAAGCCCGCCTCGTCCGCCTGCCTTTGATGCTGCTTACGACGCTGATGGTTTTACTGGAGCAGACGATTACTTGTGGAATTTTCCATGATAGTTAAACAAACCAACCATATAAAGATGTGATTTTGTGTGTTTCTATATATGTATGTATGAAATAAAAAGAATATGGTGTCTAATGATGCATTGCATGGTTAGGCCCCGTTAAGACCGTAATATAAGGTCGTACTGTATTAAGTTTTTGTCTTTAAATTATTCTCTTTTACAATCTAGTCTGATGTAATTGCAAATGTAATCACAAAGTCAATGCCTTGACTGATACTCATTTGTTTATTTTACAGATGGATAAAAATTTCATAGGGCAATTGGTCTTAAATTGTGGTCGATATAGTACTAATGTCTATTATAGACATAATAAACAATCATTATCTATATATAAGAAAATACGAAACCATTTTGAACCGTGACCTGACATAATTACGAAGCCATTTTGAATCGTAGCATATTTGACCACCACTTCTATCTCGTATTATAGCAATTGAAAATTTGATATAGTTTGAACTTCGGCACAGAAAGTTTAATGAAAAAAGTTACAACATAGTGTATATATAACCTAGCTAGCAAGCCGAGAATATAAAATATATGCAAACAATCTTACAAATACTTGAGGATGCATAGCTAGCTAGTTAGAAGAATGGGAATGAAAAAAATGAATAAAGAAAGAAAAGGAGAGGAGCTAAAGGGGTTTGGTGAGTAAAACACACAATATGGTTATGGATACGAGTCTTAATCGAATCATACGCTTGCTGATTTTTTTATAATGTATTTTACCTTTTAATTTGATTTCTCATATATTAATGTGTCTTTCTGAGACTTTTTTTTTTTTGACATCTCTTTCATCAGTTAAATGGTCATGGTCCAACAACATTGATGATCTTTATGTTTATAATTAAAAGATAACGTAACATTTTTGTATTTGATCTAATTAATATTATATGGAAGCTGTAAATGCGAAACGCAAACAAACACAACTTTTCTTCTGGCTTACAATTTAGAAAAATAATTAATAGTATTATAAATTTATATATTATTGCATTCTGGTTAAATAAAATTTTGAGAGTTTTGAATTTATTCTAAACACTACAAGATGCCTGAAAACAATGCAATTCATTCGAATTTGTACATCAAAACTACATATATGTTCCAAAACAAACAGCTTATTAAAGGGTAACACTTTTTGATATGTATGAAAGAAATTGATGCATTCATACATGTACAAATTAAGGTCTAAACATCTTTGAACTACTTGGGCTTTTTGAACCCTTAAACCCCATGGCATCCCCTTTGTGACTCTTTTACAGACCCATTAAATAACTATTTCACTTAAAATAGCTGCACAAGAAAAATGAAGAGCAGCAAGAAATAAATAAAGTCTTGTTAAAAATAAATAAATAAATAAATAAATAAAGTGATCTTGTTGGTTAGAAATGAATGAATGAATTCAAATATTTGGAAATTGTTTTATTTCTTCGGTTCGTCATCTTCTCCACCCACCAAGATGTTAACCGTACGTACTTTGAATCTCTCAAGCTTCTCCATGACATCCTCGACTAGACTGCCCCCTCGCGAACGAGTCGTGTGAATATCAATGCGCCTTTCAAGCTGGTGATCTTGAGGCATCTCTTTATGATCTATCAGCCTTTGAATTTCGTTTGGCCTGCTAGGTTTAGTGAACGATGTTTCGCAGCTCATTTTTGGGCTCCTGTAAATCGAGAGTAATTCACAAAAATGACGACGATCTTGGAAACGATATTTTAAGAAGGAGAATATCAAAAGTATATTTGGATTGTGTGTTTATGTGTTTATTGAAAATGTATATTGGATTGTGTGTTTATGTGTTTATATATATATGCAGCGGAGATTGCTTGCTTAAGTTAAGATACTATTTGAAGAAGAAGAAATTACGACCGAGTCTACTTCAGAGACTTGGTAAAGACAAATATCAAGACTTAGCTATCTTTTGGGAAAAGTCTTCAGTACTCGTACTATGTATTCCCTACTTTGCACGTTTTTTTTTTTTTAAATTTAATTTTTGTATAAATATTAAAAATAAATAATTTCGTGTCTAAACAATAATGTAACGTATATAGAAGAGGGAGCATTCACGACATTCATGATAGATAGATTTACCTTGACACATTATCACGACAAATTGCATTCTTCAAATTTTTCTAACAACCTTGTACCTTATGTTACCAAATATTTAGAATATTGAAGCACTGAATCTATATTTTTTTGTACTAAATATTTGGTCAAAACTTCCAGATATTATGAAAATAAAATATATGTCAAATGTTATTTATATGTATGTTACAGGCAATTACCAAAAGTCCAGGGTTTTACTATTCACTTCGATTATGAAGCATGAGCTGTCACGTAGAATCAACATTGAGGATCGTTGACATTTCTACTCAATTGACCAATTCCTACAGTCAACCTGTGAAACAATCACGTATTTTTGCTAATAATTGAAACTTTAGAAAACTTTTATTTATTGAATTCTAGAATAGTTGTACATATGTATATATATTTTGTTTTAAAGTTGTGATTAATATTTTTATAACTCTCTTGATACAATCTCGGGATATCATCCATCTCCACACCATTTATTTATTACTCGAACACTATGGATGCATGTTTGGACAACTAATCACAACAAGCAAATTATTGTACTTAATAATAGAAGTATGGTTTAAATACAAGAATTCTCTTCAATTGCTTTTACTTCATTAAATCATACCAACAAATTTGTTGAATCACAATATAGTGAGAAGGTTGAATTTTATTTTTGATAAGCCTGGAAAACAGTGTAAACAGTTTGGATAACGGACAAGACCAAAAGAACAAGAGCAGCAAGAGCAGAGACAAAAGACCAAGGAGAGTTAAAGTAAGTGAATTTGAAAGTAGCCCATTCCACGTGCCAACTACTCTTGTAATACTCATTCACTTCTTCAAACAAGTCTTTGAGATAACACTGTGTTATGTCGAACGCCACATCTCTGCCTAGACTGTTCACGAATCCCGCAAGCTCTGTATCTGTTCCGAAATAGTTTTCTATGATGTTTTGGTCACATAGATACTCAACGTCCTTGTAAGTGTTCGTCAGACAATCTAGGAGCGTCGCGTATGTCGTGAAATGCATTGAGCACGCCACGTGGCACTGCTCGTAAGCCACGCAGTTCTCTAAGAAACTGCTCATGAAATCGTCGACGGTGATCGCCGGCATCTCGATCGCTCCGTGTCTGAATCTCACCACTAAGAAGCTCTCTGCGTCTTTTAGCTCCCGGAGTTTGATCCCTGCTCGCCGGAGCTTCGAGATGCTGTGGATGATGTGGGACGGCGTCTTCTCCTTACCTGGATTCGTTTCCGGTGGCGTGTGAAGCTGACTCTCCGGGATGAAACTTGACCGGAGGAGGTCGAGGAGGTGTTTTGCTCTTAGCTCTTTGAACCTGGCGAGATCTTCGTCTGTTCTGTGCATCATGTTGTTGAAGAAGGCAAACGCTAGAGACGGTAAAGAAGCGTTGGTCTCGTTTTTGTTATCTCCTCTTGTGAGATCGAACAAAGTTTCAAGAACGAAGAAAGGGATTTGATTCTCAAGACAGAGAAAATCTCTGTAGAAGAAAGGAAGAACCCAAGCCATGGCTACAAGTGGATCGTTTGGTTCGAAAGGAACAAGATTGTTCACTTTGCGAAACAGCTCAAGAAGAAAGCAACCGTCAAGAACCATCATCTCGTTGAACTCTTCCGAATCCATATGGATTGTCTCGGAGTAACACTCTCTCGCCTCTTCCTCAACGCTCTTCACGCTCTTCATGTAATCCTCAAGAGTTAGGTTTTGGGTTCTAGTGAGAAGAACGTTTAGGTAACGCCATTTGTGTTCTTGAATCATTTCGAGGCGTGTTTGGCCACGGTGGAACGGTCCAACCGAGACCACTCGCGGCTCATACCATCTACCGTTACAATCAATCATGCTCTGAGGTACTCGAAAAATGGAACAAGTTGGTTTTCCGGCGGCCGAACTGAGCAACCAGGGTGGTTCCTTCAGCCTCTCATGCATCCTCTCAATGTGGATCTTGAGGAGGCTTTCTGCCTCGTCGGATACGGAGGCAGAAGGCGGTTGCTCCACCGTATCCACCATTTTGATTGGTGTGATATTGATGAAAAGGATCTTATAAAAAATGATAAGGGGTAGTTTTGGGACTAAACTGGTCTTTATGATTGGTATATTTCTTTTGTTGGTCCACATAATGGAAGCTTGATATTATTTGGTATATATTTCAATGAAGACTTATTTAATAGTCATGGTTGATGACTTGGTCCATCCATGTTCTCGTTCCGAAATTTCTTTGAAGAACTAGTAGTGATTTTTATTAATGTTCTATGTTTAGACCATTAATGGTAGTTTCTTAGAAATATCTTAAGAAAAATCTTAGATTAAAACAGATAAAAATAAAGCAAAAATCTTAAGATTGTTAAAAAGTGTCTCTTAGCTAAGAGTCATTTGGTGGGTTAAGAGGCGCTGACGTGGCAATTTTTTTTTTTTTTTACAAATTTAATACTAAATTAATGCTAAGAGTCAAAACTAAGAGCCTACCAATAATGTTGCTCTTAGAGTTATAAGAAAGTGATACAGTATTCCCCAATAAACATTATATTCAAGTGGATAAAAGATAGATTATATGTTAGAAAGTATCAGTTGGTATCACGTAAGTGTCAGTGGACAACTTTTTCAAAAAAAAAAAAAAAAAAGTGTCAGTGGACAACCATGTCCGAGTCCTAGTGAGCCTTATTCTTAAATGTCCGAACCCGACCCTAAAATCATAATTCACAAAGAAAATAATTTGGGAATTTTTTTATATAACAAATTGTTACCAATTTGAAATAACACAAATCAATCAATCCTTTGTTAATTAGCATTTTCAATAAAATGAAATTACTACTTTTGACATAATATCATGTATAACAAACCAATCCAAAAAAAAAACATATGTTAGGCAATGATTTTAAGCAAAAATATGTTGTAATATAAAAACAGAAGATAATACTATGTAGTAGAGATATTGTTGTAACATGTTGCGATCATACATACGTATGAATAATTAAAAATAAATATGTATATCAAAATGAAATTTAATTCGTTCGTGAGAAACACGCAATTCAGACGTGGGTACGTTTCCTAGTCCTTCAACGTGAGTATTTTAATCAGGCATGATCTAATTTTGTTTATGGACAATGATTGATCAACCAGATAAACCAAACCTAAATCAAATAACCAAAAGCGTATTGTTGTTTAAGGCTTTAAGCAAAAGAAAATTTCCCTTTCACAAAGATGCATAACTCCGTGGTTTTGATTCCAAACCGACATAAACCAAGCTAAAAGTTCAAACTTAAATGCCAAACAATGAACAATCAGTTATGTTAAAACAGAAAATTGAAAACAATATTTTCACTACCATAAAGAGAACATTCAACGAAGATTTGTACAATGGAAGGTATGTTCAAGTAAGAAAAGAAATGGAAGATATGGTTTAAGTAAGAAAAGATTATCGTTGTGACTTGTGACATTTTCTACAAGCGTTTTTAGCTATAGTGATAAGAAAACACAGGGTAGATGTTATATATAGAGGTTGTTTAATCTGGTTTACCAAGTCAATGATAGCCCATCTAAAATTATACTAATTTTTCTTGTCTCTAACAAAATTCATTATTTGTTCATAGAGAAGAAGAGACAAGTTCGTGGGAAAATTCATCAATCAAGACAAAGAAGATAGAGAGCTCGAGATCGGACACGGCCTCTTCCATTTCTCCACCGTGTCTTGTCCATTCTCCGGCCTCCTCTCTTAAATCTTTCCGCACCACCGCGTCCACGTCCTCCTCTGCTCCCAACCCTACCCTCCATGCATTCATCATCCTCCACTTCTTCTGCCTCTCATCATTCTTCTTCCTCTTCTCCTCTTCCGCGCATCCCCTGTCTCGTGCCATTGCTTCATCAACGTCCTCATATTCTTCATCTGAATCGTAAATCCTTATGTTATCTTCTTCCTCACTCTCCTCATACTCTTCTTCTTCTTCATCTTCTTCTTCCGACATCTTCCCTTCGAGCTCTACAGGATCCAGCCCCGCTAACTTCTCGAATCTACGAAGCTTCTTGAGTAACCGCCTTTTCGCCCCTGTTTAGTCAAAAACACACAACATTTAAAACCCTTGAAACGATCTCGGGACCAGTTTGTATTCAATTCCTTTGGCCCATTTGATGTGATGGAAGATTGGATACTCACGTTGTACAATTTCAAAGCTGCAAGAGAGGATATTGGGATGATCAGGCTCGTGTTGGTGGTGGTCCTCGTCCTCCTCCTCCTCCTCAAGAGGGTCAAGTACAGAGACAGGGCTACATTGTTCCTTGTCTTCCTCTTCTTTATCTTCTTCTTCTTGTCCTCTCACTTTCTCTAAGCTCTCTGTCTCATCGCTATCTTCGTCCTGTTACAACTCATTTAACACACTTTTGGTTTCAACATTTTTTGTCTCTTACTATTTCTGGCGCTGGATCATAACTATTTTTAGCAATTCAAATTTATATCCTCATCGCACTACTTTACGTACCCATTAAGGGTTGCTCCATGTTACCTATATATATGCATTTTTAAAAAACTACAACCACAAGTAGGGTAAATTTAACTTTTGAATTTTGTAAACATCCCAATTAATACTTCCCAAAATAGATCCCAACTTTTTGACAAAACATCGAAACTTTTTCACGAAAGCTAATGACATTCTAAGAGTTTGTAGCTAATTATTGCAAAAGGTTTGGTTTACATTTAAGACTTAACCCACTGAATTAAAAGGTAGAGAAATGTGTTTCCGGTAATTTGCCAGAAAATTAATTGGTTTGAAAACTTTGAAGTTGAATTAGCTAGAGAGACGCAATAATCGTCATAGTGGGGGTTGACCACAGGTGTTTAAATGACATAAACACCCCCACTATAGCCAAGCTTTACGATGGATTTTCACTCGAAACTAAGGGTATATCCGTCATTCCAATAGTAAAACATATTTACCGTACTTCTGAAAAACTTTCATGATTCAGTCATATCAAACAGACAATTTTCAGCCAGCCATGTGTGTCTGCTCTAATCAGAAGATGTTTTTTCAGTTTTCCATAGAATGTTTTTTTACTTTCTCTTTTTTTACTGTATGGTAATTTATTTAGTTATGGATATATTAATAGTAGATTTATTTAGGAATAATTGAGAGAAAATGTATAAATTAATTGTTTATCCAAAAATATGTTAAATTTTCCAAAAATTTAAAACAATTAATACAATTTTGCTTAGATATCACTCTTAATATCTAGCTTTTAAGAGCTAGATTATCAATTCAAGTTTGAAATTAAGTGTTTAATATTTAAACTACTGAATTAATTTAAATCTAAACTTTTTTTTTAGTTTTTATATAAAATTTAAACTACATTATTGTCCTTAATTTCAAGACTTTTGTAAGTAAAGATTAGAATAAAAAAGATTGAGACAAACCTCTGTACTGCGTCGGGCCGGAGAACTGGCCGTCGATGTAAAGTGAGGGGTCCGATGACCGGAGGAAGAAGGAGTTGTGTGGAGAACAAAATGAAAAGGGCTCTCACAAAAGCATTTATCGTCAATCTCCAAGAACTCTCCTCGACTACTACTACTACTACTACTCGTCGGTTCCGACCCGCGTTCCAACGAAACCGCGTTTCCATCAGCGTTATCCAAACGCGGTTTTGTTTTACGGTTCGTCAGCAGCTTCAAGACAGACCCGAACATACCAAACCCGTTTCCTCTAGTCCGAACTTTGTTGGTCTTACCCTTCTCCGACTGCTGCTTCTGAATCCTCGCCGCCGCGTCCAAGAGAATTGCGGCGGTTCTTGCCGGAATCTGGAGGAAAACTCGACCCTCACGTGTCTTTTTCTTCCCCGGAGACCGGAGCTCAAAGAGAGGAGACTTTCTCGGGTCAGGAGATTTATGCGCCGCGAAGAAACAAGAGTTCTCGCAGGAGAACAAACCAGGAGGAAACGCCGCAACGTTGTCGGACTTTCGCTTCTTGACACGCAAATCGGAACAACCCATCTGAGAACGAAGGTCACCGATGTAATGGTTAAGATGAAAAGGCTCTTGGTCATCTTCAAGAAACTCATGTAAATGCTTCTTCTTCTTCTCAGCCATGGTAGAAAAGTTTACTTAGCTTTTAATGTCTCTCTCTATCTCTCTCGAGTGTGTGGAATTCAGAATCATGGAAATAGTAAAACGAAGGAAGCTTTTTGCTCTTTTCTTATAAGAAGAGAGAGAGAGATTTTGGTGAAGGATGAGGAACAGTTGAAGACAAAGGGTGAGACATTGGATAAAGAGTCAATGCTTTGGATTTGGCTACTTCCTAGCATCTTGAAAAATAGAAAAGAAATAAGAAAAGTAAAGTTTTCGTCTTATATTCTTTCTTTCTTCATACTGAATTATAATTGACGACATGTGTCTTATGCAACGGTAATTTTGTTTGTTAAAAGAAAGTTTAGTTGACATATTATTATCAGAGTGGGCCTCAAAGACTCCTGAAAAATAGAGTTTACGTGTCAAAATTAAAGAGTCTATTTTTGTAGTCGTGTATATTTATCCATTTCTTTTCACCGGTTTAGTGAAAACTCGATTGAGCAGTAACTTCACCTGAATTTTTATGGGCTCATGTACTCCATTTATATAAAGCACAATCATTTTCACATGAAAGAACCATACTGTGGTAAAACAAACGAAAAACAAATGGACCATCGTGAACTCGTGTTTAATACTACTTGATCGTAGTTACAACTTACAATTCAATCCTTGTTGCATAATCATCGAAATGACTCCACGTAATTTTTAACTCCTTTATGACACCTCTCGCTCGTTTTGATAACATTATCGCAAAATGTTCAACTACTAATTAGTGAACGAACATGCATAAGTTTGTTTACGAGAAACCAACGTTATAGGAGACTTTACAAACATTAAGTAAACTATTACTATATTTATAGATTATAGATAAAATGTTGCTCTCTCTCGGTACGAGGATGATTCCTAAAATGACAATTCTTGTTGAGGGATGAATGATTTAAATTTGACATCATAATTGGAGAAAAGAACTAGATAAAGCCGGATTCCTGTAGGTTCGGTCCAACTATTGTAGGAGGACAAAATTTGGGGGTGCTAGTTTGCATGTGTTTACTCCTATATTTCCATGTGT